AACATACAGCATCCACTTTTCATCTCCGGTACCAATGTGCTCTAAAAACGGCAAACGGTTTTGACGAGAGAGGAGCGAACTGCAAATTGTGACTCTTTGATTACGGTTGTTGTTGGTCAACTCATGAGGAACCCACTTTCCAAACTTTTGGACTTTGCCAAGTGCACGCAATTGATTGGAAATTGTTTTTTGTGAACAATTTAAAGTTGTCGCAAGCTCTTGTTGGGTAATTTGAGGATTTTGCACCAAAAGAGCTTGAAGAGCTTCTTGATCAAAATTGGACACACGGCCTCGACCACTCTTGTCATCTAACGAAAAATTTCCCTCGCGAAATTTCTCAAACCAATGCTGGCATTTTCTGGCGCTAACTGCATCTTGACCAAGAGCACTACAGATGTTTTTTGCAGCCTCACTTGCTTTTCTTCCTAATTGGAACTCATAAAGCATGCAGTGCCGAATATGCTCTTCATCCACCATCTTCTTAGCCCTAGTTTTGCAACAAAAACCAAACCAAACACAAACTTTTTCAAGCAAAATTTGTTAATTGCACTTCACACGTTCTGTAGATACCACGTGTTTGAAGGTTATGTCAATACAAGTCAACGCCAAGCAAGATTTTAAACGAATGTTTAAAAACGACATTAATTATTACTAGACCCGGTATTTCCAGCCACTTCTCCACACACGTTGAGTGCTTGCCAAACAAGCATTGCTTTGGTACCCTTCAGTGCGTTAGGTTACAGCGGTCGGCAAACTCATTAGTCAACAGAGCAAATATCCACAGTACAACGATTGAAATTTCTTTTGAGAGCCCAATTCTTTAAACTTCTTCTAATGCCACTTCTTCAAAATAGACTTGTCCAGGCCGTGTTATTTTGTGGAAGAGCCACATTCAAGGGGCCAAAGAGCCGCAGTTTGCCGACCACAGCCTTAGGAGAAAGTCTGACATGTTTACCCCCAGCTACTACAAGATTGGCCTTTCTCTGTCACTGTCCACTCGCCCTTCCTTGTGCTCTTTCCATTAGGTCTTTGATGCTGCCTCTTCCCTGCCTTGCAGCTTCACTCCTGCCACCTGAATGCTGACCCGCATTTCTCCCCCTGGTCCCCTCCCTCCACTTCTCCCCTGACCCCAGGGCCAGCTCATCCATCATTCAGGTTCTGATGTGAGCTGCCAGGTCCCTGCTATGCCCTCTCCTGGCACCCACCTGTGAGTTATAGTTAGTCAAGCAGCGTCGAAGGTTGTCTTCAGCTCTGGAAGACAAGCTCTCTGTACGAAGGCAGGTGCTCACCGTGCTTACTGCTGCCTCCCGGTGCTCGCCCCTGGGAAAAGCTGCTCAGTGGCATCTCAGCCAGGAGTGAGTGGGGACTGGCAAGATGAGTGACACACCCAGTAAGGTCAGAAAGCAAGTCTAGGCCAGAGGCGGTGGCCAGTGGAGCCTTTCTGGATACAATTTCCATTTTATTCCCCAATTAGTGGATTAGTGGTGCTGATGGAATTGGGGACAAAAGCACATTAGTCATAGGACCCAGGCTAAGGTACTCAAAATGCTGTGGCCTGAAAAAAGGACCCACTGCTGTTTTCCTAAGTGCCCTTGAATTTGATGGACTTCATGTTTACATAATAGCATTCATACCCCAGCAGGTCTGGTACCAGGAAGCAGCTGGATGAAAATAGAAACCGGCTGGTCTTTTTACTGCATCTTCCTCTCCATAAAGGCGGAGTCCCTACAATGACAGGGTGGAGCTTTAGTTGTCCTGCTATTGCTCTAATGCCCTCTGTGGTATTAAGACAACACTGGAAATGGGTCACTTATCTCTGTAAGGAAGAAATAGTACTTTAAAGTGTTGTTTTGTTTCCTTGAGTTACTTGCTAGGCTAACCCAGGATGGAGCTTTGGAATGGCAGACAAGGTGTGGTCACTTGTGTCTTGTTCCAAGAAGCAGTGTGGTGACACTGGAATCTCCAGAGTCAGCAAAGCCTGTTCCCAGGGTGTCCTTTTGCACAGCTCCCTGCAGTGGGGAGTGAATGAGGAGAGATTACAGACCTGCTGAGAGTTTATCTTGCTCTTGTAAACTTGCTCTTAATGCGCATAAAATAATAAAAGAGATGGGAGCTGGGTCAAACAGCCCTGTAAAAAAAAAAAAAAAAAAGGAATGAGTAGAAGTTCTCTGAAAGCAGTGGTTTTTATCCTTTCTAATGCCATGACCCTTTAATAGAGTTCCTCATGTTGTGGTGACCCCCAACCATAAAATTACTTTTGTTGCTACTTCATAATTGTAATTTTGCTTCTGTTAATTAATCGTAATGTAAATACCTATGTTTTCCGATGGTCTTAGGCTCTACAGTAGCGGTTGTAGAGCCTAAGGTTGAGAACTGCTAGCAGGGTTGCCTATGACCATCGGAAAATACAGATATTTACATTATGATTAATTAACAGAAAATTACAGTTAGGAAGTAGCAACAAAAATAATTTTATGGTTGGGGGTCACCACAACATGAGGAACTGTATTAAAGGGTCATGGCATTAAGATTGAGAACCACTGCCTTAGAGGAAAACAATTTAAATTTCCCATGTCATCAAAAATGGTATTGGGCGTTGCCTGGAATAGTTTATTTCTAGCTACCAGGCAGGATGCTTTCGGAATGCTCTGAAGGAGCAACACAACGTTCTCTAGTAGCAAGTGTTAGAGAGATCTGCCATTGGGCATATTTGTGAACAGAGAAGAAGGTTGGAGATCACTCTTTGATAGGAAGTTCTCTTTAAGTTAGGACCAGGAGGTGATGGAGCCTGTTCAAGGCAGATGCCCTTGAGTGGTTAAGTGAGGAGCTCTTTGTATGTATAAAGTGGATTCCAAACTCATCATTTAAGCTTTTTTCTGTGCCTTTTCTAACCTAGACTTAAATTGTCTTCACCATATTAGTAGTCAAGGTCATTTAAAAGCTTGTAAGTGTTCTATATACAGTCAAACGTGGACTGTCTATTTAGGATATTATAGAATTGACTTCAGATGTCAGGGTTTGTTTTAAATTTTAGAAGGGCTTTTTTTTTTTTTTTTTTTTTTTTTTTTTTTGCAAGTGCAGAGTAGACACAAGTGCCTCCCTGAGTGAGTGCAGCTGGTGTGATTGACCCTTCCTTGGCTGCAGAGCACCACAGGTAGCCTCCCTGAACTCGAGGGTGCCAGGCACTGTCCCCTGGCGCATAGAAAAGTAAATCTAAAAAGGAAATCAGACCAGTAGCTCTAAAGCAAAAGTCTGTTCAGCATATGGTGCCAGTGAGGGTTTTCCTGACAGGGAACTGGTGAGGTGAAATGGTTGAGAAGTCAGAGTCCTGTTACTAGAACCAGGAATCCATGGCACTCGACAGAGGGGCCTTCTTGGGGATGATCTGAAGGGCAGATGCACAGGACTGTCCTGAAGGTACAGGAGCCTTGGAAGAGGTTTTGTTTTTCTATCCTGTTTTGTTGCACACGAAAGCTACCATAAAACACTGAGTTAGCAATGAATCTTGCTGATACAAGCACACCCATGGGCATGGCTCCCAGGCAGTGGGCCAGAACACCACTAGCACTGCAATGGGTCAGCCCTCACAGTATCACTGAAGGGTTACCTCCCATCGGTGCTGTTATGGGTTATTCGTGTCACCAGCTGTTGTTCTGTTCTGGCACTTAGCTGAGCATGGGTCAGAAGCTTAGAAAATACCTTCCCAGGCCCCTCAGCTTGTAAGGAGAGGTCAGAATCCCAATTCTGATTTGGCTCATTCCCAAGCACGAGTCTTCCTGACCGCCATACGGGAAGAACAGTGCAGATATCTGTTTGCTTCTTTCAAGGGAGAAGCAGTTTGGGATTTATGATTCAAAAGAGAACGCTGGAATTTATAGGAGCTGCATGAGAGAGGAAAGGAAAAGACAGAGTCACAAATGGCACCTCACCCCGGTGGTGGGGGAGCTAGGTGGACAGACACAGACTTCGTTTAGCACGGGTCTTCTTTCCTGGAACTCCTTGAGAGAGCATGGTAGCTTCTGGGGGTCAGAAATGGGCTGCCCTCTGTGAAGCTCAGGCTAGCTGGCTAGCTCACCACCCCTCCTTTGGAGCATTGCCTTTCCCTTTACTCACAGGGATGAGGGTCAGTCCCTGCATCACAGCTGCAGGCCACAGAAAAGGGGGAAACTGTGTGGCCATTGCTGGACTGAACTGGCTTTGGAGACTGGATCTCAAACCTTAATATGCGTACGGGTTATGGCCTGAGTTGTTTATGAGTGGACCCCCCTGTGTTCCCATCTTGTTGCATCTTCAGAGATGGCTAGTCTAGGGGAGGTCTGGTTACCTGTCTGGAAGGGTCTGGTACAGGGCCTGGCCAGACATGGCAGTCCCTCTGACACAGGAGGCCTCTTGCCCACAGCTTGCTGGGCACATTTTCCTTGGTGGCATATATCTTCTCTTTATATAAAAGCCTAAATGACAAATCAGATAATTGGCAGGTGGCTATGACATGCACTGACCACCAGGGGGCAGACACTCAACACAGGAGCTTCCCCCTTATGGTCAGTGTGCTCCCTCAATAAGAGCAATGCTAAGCTGCCAGATGTGTGCCAGATGCCAGCTGAGACAGTACAAGCCTCTTCCGTGGACAATCCCCCTGCGTGCACAAGCAGCAGCGGTGGCAGGTTCAGCGGGGCTGGGATGAGCGGGAGGGGTGCTGTGCCCAGCTCAGCCTCGGGCTTCTCCCTGGCCGCCTGCTGCTTGGTGCACTGCTTTGTGCTGTGCAGGATCAACCCGGGCAGTGGCTGGAGCCCGATAAGCTGGCGGGTAAGGCCAGGCTGCAGCAGTGTGGAGGTCCACTGATCCCCGCTGAGGGACCCCACTGGCGCACAAATCAATGCACTGGGCCTCTAGTGTATTTATAAAATTTTACGGTTTCAAAATAACAAAAAATACCTGTAGCTGATTTTTCCTGGTTTTGCTCATTTTAAAAGCAATTTCTCTCCTTTTTGTTTTTATAGGATACTAAGTTGTGGATAATAATGGAATATCTCGGTGGAGGCTCCGCACTAGATCTTGTAAGTATTATGTCAAAAGCCGGTGCATTAAGGCTCTTCTTGGTTTTGAAAGTAATTCTGTTTATACATTTCCGTTTCTCTAAGTTCTATGAAAAATGGCCCAAACTCTTTCTTATAATATGTATTTATGCTTCTGATATATTATTGACAATATACAGGTTTACTTTTGAAACCAGTTTTGTTGTTTCTTGGGAAACTCATGAACTCATTCATAAAAGCTAAGAAGGATTTTGCCTGTTACTGTCTTACTGAAGATCAGTTTGCTAGTTTTCCAAAACTGTTTTTTTTTAATTTTTTTATTAAGATATTACATATGGCCGAAACCGGTTTGGCTCAGCGGTAGAGCGTCGGTCTGCGGACTGAAAGGTCCGGGGTTCGATTCCGGTCAAGGGCATGTACATTGGTTGCGGGCACATCCCCGGTACGGGGTATGCAAGAGGCAGCTGATCGATGTTTCTCTCTCATTGACATTTCTAGTTCTCTATCTCTCCCTTTCTCTCTGTAAAAAATCAATAAAATATATTAAAAAAAAAAAAGATATTACATATATACATACCTTACCAATCCCTATCCCCCCAACTCCCTTTCCATAGTTTTTCCTCCATTGGTTATGCATGCATACAAGTCCTTTGGTTGATCTCTTATATCCCCCATCAAAACTGGTTGTTGTTTTTTTGTTGTTGTTTTGTTTTTTAAATATATTTTATTGATTTTTTCACAGAGAGGAAGAGAGAGGTATAGAAACATTGATGGGAGAGAATCATCAATCAGCTGCCTCTTGCACACCCCCTACTGGTTATGTGCCTGCAACCAAGGTACATGCCCTTGACCGGAATCGAACCTGGGACCTTTCAGTCCGCAGGCCGACGCTCTATCCACTAAGCCAAACCGATTTTGGCAAAACTGTTTTTTTGTAGAGCTTATTGTTTTAAATTTCAGATAGTAACTTAACTTCCAAAATATGTGGGCAGTATAATTAGAAGTAGGATTTTAACAAATTAATCCATTTTCAGAGTAAAACCCAGGCAGAGTGTGAGGCCTGTAGCACGCTGCTCACACCAGAGCAGTGGGCAGGGTACGCAGAGGGGGGCTGCAGAGGAGCGGGACCGGCCCCCGTGCCTGTCTGCTGCCTGGTCTGGACCTATTGCGCCATTAGTGTGAGCCACTGTCTCCCACATGGGATAGTGGGAACTAGGTATAGGAAGACCTTAAAGTCACAGTCTGGGACTTGCTTCTCATGGTGAAACACAGTTTACATGTTGGCCTCTGGCAAGATGCTCTGAAACAACCAGCCAGTCATAGGCATTGTTAAGTATTCCTTGAAGCACAGCATATGCAAAATCGGTTCTTAAAAGACTGCACACAGTAGTTTAGCACTTGACATCTTGCCGCCCCTGTGGCTATGCAGCGAAATTAATGTCATCAGCCCTCTTTCCTACCGTCCTCCAGAGCTGGCCTTGGGTGAGTGGTGATTTCTGGGACAGGCCTAACCTATCATTTTGGTATTAGAGGGTGGGTCCTGCCTGATGGAAAGTTGTCAGATGATGGTCTGCATTATTTATTCACTGCTCAGCGTGAGAGCTGAGGGAAGTGGTTATAGTCTGCATGTGTTTTATTCGCCAAGGAAAGAAGTGCCCTCCGATTAAAAGGAGCTTGCTTTTTCACTATAATGTTAGCAATTCGTAGTTTTTTTGGGGAAGGTAAAACTAATGTTATAAACCATAAAAACAGTTGGTCAAAATGATGTTCAAAGGAAATTTCAAGAAAAATATTTAATATGATATGAACCGTTACATTAAAATGGGAACAGTGACAGAACAGCTGGATAAATTTTATGACTTGCTTCACTGCTTTTCCATAAATACACACACACAAAGAATTTCATTTTTTTACTCTTCTGGGAAATACTTCAGGACTGTAGAAAATGATCTGATTTTGTTTAATTAGATTTCCTATTATCTTAAGTGAATTTCATTTGTGGCAGATATAAAGTTGTTTGTGGGGACTCTAGTCTGACCTTAAGTTTTTCAGGGCAGCAATTCTAGTTTCTAAATGCTATAATTTATTCATTATTAATGCCACAGTTATTTACTTATTTAGTGGTAACTTTCTTTGGAGCTTTGACTTGAAGTCTGTGAAATTTTAGACATTACAGTTGTAAGAAATGTAGAACTCTCCATTTGAAAAACAGTCTTGTGGCGTATGAGAGCCCCAGCAAATTGCCTTACACTCTACCTTACACTCAACGGCCCTGGTGACAAGAACCAGGCATCCTTTTTGGATGTCCCTAATCTCGTTTTCATTGATGAGGAAACGGGACACTCAGATTAGGTGTCCCAGCTCACAGAGCTGGACTTTGGACCTCCTTGTGACTAGGCACAAAGTCTGTGGCCTTCCCTGATCCCATGCCATCCTGCCCCTCCCTTTGACCTCCCTGTATCTTTCTCCACTTCTTATCTCTGCCCTCAGTTCTCTGAGTAGAAGACACACTTTACAAGAATTATCTTTTACATATTGCAAACTATTAATATTATTTTGAGGGCCTTATGTTTATAACAGATTAAAAAAACCCAGGATATTGTCACATAAAATCTGATAACCACGTACAGATGTTTGGCAAACTTGGACATGTATTCACAAAATGTTTTTAAAAAATGAGATGGCGTATTCATTAAGGTTTAGACCAAGCTACTGTTGTAGGGCCCCAGTGTCTCACACAAGATAGAAATTTATTTCCCTCCCATGTGTTGGGGTCAGTGGTATCTAGTCCATGTGGTCACCAGGGTCCTGTACTAGTGGGTGGTCCTACCATCTGTATCCCATGGCATTCCTTGTCTTCAGTCATGCTTTCTGACTGCCAGTGTTCCAAGGCCAGGAGAGGGGTATGTGTCACTTTTCATGTTCCACTGGGGAGAACTTACCCACATGATCGTACGTGCTGCTGCAGAGGCGGGCAGGTGTGGCTTCTTGTTGAGGGGCCACGTTCCTGGCTAATGGTGTCTGCTGCAGAGGAAGGCCGAGAGAACAGACTTGGGGAGAATCAGAGTCACCCAGAGGTAAGATGCAGCCAGTAATCTTTCCTTCATAACTATTATTTGAAAATTTCACAGTTCTCTTAATGATAGAGACTGCCATTATATTATAATGCCTAGAAATGGTAATGGTGGAGAACACTAATATATGACTCTGAGAACTTAACTCAACCTTGTCTTGCCACTAGTGAGGATTTCTGTCATGGAGAAAGCAACTGAATAATACCACTTATAGTGAGTTTTGACACCAAGGACATCCACTTCACTCCCCAGATAAAGAATAAGTCATTGGGGTTGGTGTGTAGGCCAGATGTAAAAGGGCCAGTTTTCAGTGATCCAGGAAGAGATTTTTCTATTAGTTTTACTGAACTCTTTTTTTTTTTTTTTTAAATATATTTTATTGATTTTGTACAGAGAGGAAGGGAGGAGATAGAGAGCTAGAAACATCGATGAGAGAGAGTCATCGATCAGCTGCCTCCTGCACACCCTCTACTGGGGATGTGCCCGCAACCAAGGTACATGCCCTTGACCGGAATCGAACCCGGGTCCCTTCAGTCCCCAAGCCGACGCTCTATCCATTGAGCCAAACCGGTCTCGGCATAGTTTTACTGAACTCTTATTATCTCTCCTAGCTGATGACACCAGGCTGCTCTGCTGTTTCTTTCCAGAGACTGGGTAACGATAGGAGGGAGGTTGACATTAAGCCCTGGCCTAGCCCCATGTTGCTAATGCTCTGTGTGGAGAGGAGGAGGGCGTGGACTTGCACTCTGTGATAGGACTTTGAACAGCTGTGTTCTGGTGGCGTGAATAAGAGCAGACACACCAGCATCTCTGCCCTTCTCTTTCCCCTGGGTTATGAGAAAAGTGACTTTAACTCATTTTGAGTGTTAAAACTTGTATTTTCTATGAATACTCAAAAGTAGATGTGGAGAAGACAGACAGAGTTTCCAGATTGTGTCTTTGGAACAGTAGTCTCAATGTGTGTTTCTTGAAAAGAAGACTCTTGGGGTCCGATAGGTTCTGTGGAACAAAGTGTGTGACCTGTTGCCTCAGTCGGAGGTAACTTGGATAGTATCTCGATTAGCATTTGGGAAACTTCCTTGCAAGCTAGTTGGCCCAGGCAATGGGACTTTTCTCTGAGCCTATACCACCAGTAAAACGACAGTGAGCAGCACGTTGTCTCACACCTGAGTGCTGAGGTGAGGCGCCGAGGAGCTGCTCCTTTACAGGTGTGCCCTGCTGCCCCACAGCCAGGATCCGAGGGGCCAACAGGATGAGAACCTCCCCTCCTCCACCCAGACTTTGTGGGTTTTGGGTAGACAGGTTGGGCCAGTGAGCAAGGCGGCACAGCTCGCTAGATGAGCCAGAAGATAGTTCCAGGCATGAGTACAGCTGTCATAAAGCAGAAAGGGGTCTTAACTTCCCTGCTGCCACCACCCCAGCCAGGGCCTGACACTCACCAAGGACTGCCTGTCTGAGAAAGTGTGCTGTCAGGCAGAACTCGACCTAACGAGGCGGGTCTCAGTTTTTATTCCCCGGGCTTTAAAGCATCTGTCTTTTTTAAAGCATGCTTGATGATGCCCCAGGATTGTGTGGGCTAAGAAGTGTGGGTTTGGGTTATGATGCATTCATTGTCAAGTCTGAAGACCTAATCCTGAGGACTGTTGTTCAGATGAAAAGTTGATAGGCTATTAGAATTCTGCCCCCGCTCCGTCTGACAGGTCCATGACCAGTTCTTATGAGGGTGTTCGGTGGTTTTGCTGAACTAATTATGTAATTATTTAGTTGTGGTTGAATTCCCACTCTGCCAGTGATGGTGGATCTACCCGATTTGAACTGAGCTTTAGAACCCATTTTTTTCCCCCCGCCTTTTGAAAAGGTCATATATATATAGTTGACATTTCTTCCTTACACTTTATACATTTATCAATATCAAAGAGTCACTATAAATGTCTTTGAGTTTCTCAGAATAAAAGTTTTCAGAGGTAATTATTACCTCATTTGGGATAATATAATATGTTATTTTTGTTATATAACATATACATTTATAAAAATAAATAAAATGTAACAAAAAATCCCAGTCATTGGGATTAGCTGTTTTTCTCCAAGCTTTAAATTTTAGGTTTAAAAAATTCTGGTGCAGAGGTATTCTCAGAAGCAGTGGGCTCCTGGGCCTTCTCTTTGGACCACTGTGCTTTGTTTACCTCACCCAGCAGGTACTGGGAGTCTCGGGGCTTTTGCTTTCTGGGCTAAAACTCCTTATGGCCTAACACAGTGGGGCTGTCCACGGACTTTCTCTCTGGACCTACCCTACTTTAGTTTTTAGCCACCTGTGCTTCACTCAGCAAAGTCATTTTCTCTGTTTTATTGTTGTTTTGGGGCCCTGTAAGTAGGTTTTAATTTCCTAGACTAGTGGTTGGCAAACTGTGGCTCGAAAACTACATGCGACACAAGAGCCACTGTTGGCCGCTTTGTTGACTAATGAGTTTGCCAACCACTGGTTTAGACAAAATGCCTGTTTTGGAGTAGATTTTCATTATTGTCCATTTAACATGGGTATTGACTGTTTTATAATTTCAAATGTCTGATAATCATATAAGTAACTTTAACACCTTTTTTTTGTTTGTTAGTTAGAACCTGGGCCTTTAGATGAAACTCAGATTGCTACTATATTAAGAGAAATATTGAAAGGACTTGATTATTTGCATTCAGAGAAGAAAATTCACCGAGACATTAAAGGTAAGAAAGCATCTCGTTTTTATTCCGTTGAAAACCTCAGGCGGATAGGACCGTGCTGCAGAGGAAAGCTGTGCTTTTCTCCTCCGGGGGCTGTCCGTGTGATTCTCAGAGTCCCTGCAGCATGCCGGGGTGGGTGTGAGGGGCCTGCTCAGAAGCATAGCCTTGTTGCCTGTTCTTGTTGAGCACATGATCTCGCTGAGGGGAGGCCGGAAACATTCCCAGAATGATAATGGACGGAACAATACAGCAAATGATACCGAGAGGCATTTTGATTTTCTTTTGCAGCTGCCAATGTTCTGCTCTCTGAACACGGAGAGGTGAAGCTGGCTGATTTTGGAGTGGCAGGCCAGCTGACGGATACCCAGATAAAAAGAAATACCTTCGTGGGCACCCCTTTCTGGATGGCACCTGAAGTCATCAAACAGTCAGCCTACGACTCAAAGGTAACAGCTGACACTTCACCATCGCTGGGCCTGGAGAGTTCCCCCCTCTTGCATTTTCACCTTAGAGCTCTTCCTGGTAGAGTGAAGCCTGGCACCTTGAAGTAGGTCTTAAAGGTCGTTGGAACTTGGTTAAAAACAGGTTTCTTTCTTGCCTCCTGCTGTATCAAATCCCCTTTATTTATCCAGTCCACAGTCAGTGAGGTTTTCAGCGTAATGTCTGCTTGGGGGCGGCGCTGTGGAGCACTGAGAACAGGGTGTTTGAAGGTGGGTGTGGAGGGATGGAGGATCAAGGTGGTGGCCAGGGTAAAGGCAGCGATGTGGGGTGTAGCCAATAGAGCGATGTGGGACATTTGAAGGTGGGTGTGGAGGGACGGAGGATCAAGATGGTGGCCAGGGTAAAGGCAGCGATGTGGGGTGTAGCCAATAGAGCGATGTGGGACATGGGTCCCCAGAGAGGCCTCGGGGCTGTTTGTGCATGGGAAATAGACGAGGCCTGAGTGGAGGGGGTGAAGGAAGAGGGCTGTGGACAGAACTCTGAATGATATTTAAGGGACAAGGACAGAAAGAGGATCCCACAAGAGAAACAGCCCACAAAAATGGGATAATGCTTTTAGTGGTTGCTACAGAACCTTCCTGTCAGTACTTTGAGTACCCAGTTAGGTTGTTAACTCTCTCAGGCTCCTAACCAACACGTGGCAGAATTATAATTCCCTTTTTCCAACCTCTCGCTTTTTTAATGCTAACCCGAGGACGTGCTTACTGATGTTAGAGAGAGGGAGAAGGAGTAAGAAAGGGAGAGGGAGAAAGGAAAAGAAAGTAAGAGGCTGCCTGAGACCTTCTCCCTCGCGTCTTTCTCCCTAGTGCAGGGTCTCTGGGTGTTGCCAACAGCAGCCTCTGAGCATCAAGAGATTCCGCTGTGGGGCTTTGCCACCTTTGTTCCTGGCGTTCTTGCCAAGATCAAATGCTCTTACCTGATCAGTAGAAGTTGCAGCATTCTTTTTAGGTAGATTAACAAGTGCAAACTCACAGGGAATGCACACTTGGCTTGGGAGCTCAAGGAACTGTCACTGACCTTGAGTTACCTTTCCCTCTGGCTTAGTTAAAAGCTGAATCTTTCATTTGCTTGGATCATACCCAGTGGCTATTTTTTAAAAAAGATTTTTGTATTTTAAAAAAGTTTTTTATTGACTCATTACTGGGAACCATGTGTGAAAATACGCTTATGTGAAATTTGCTTCCCAGGTTTGTTGACCCAGGAGGTGTGGAAATTGCAGATAAGACTGATGTCTATGCCTGAGCCTTGGGACTTATCAGAAGAGGGGTTCCTGAGGCTGGGCCCTTAGGCATGATGTCACATACACCCTCATTAGTTGTGACTCTGGGCTAGCAGCTCTTCTTAAGAACAGTGCCTGACAAAGAGCCCTTTTCCAAGCTGGTTTGTGAAATATCCTTCCAGTGGCTGCTACCTCTCCAGGCTTGCCTGAGCAGTTTATGTTCTTAGAGGGGCACCCTGCTCTCCTGATAACACAAACTTAACTCAGCTTCTTTTCAGTTCTCCCTTCCATTCTGCCTTGTGGGTGTTTTTCCTCCTGGTCTCTGTGTTACAGGTAAAGAGCTTAACAGGCTGAAAGCAGTTTGGCTCAATGGATAGAGTGTCAGCCTGCGGACTGAAAGGTCCCAGGTTCGATTCCGGTCAAGGGCATGTACTTAGGTTGTGGGCACATCCCCAGTAGGGGGTGTGCAAGAGGCAGCTGATCGATGAATGTTTCTCTCATTGATGTTTCTAACTCTTTATCCCTCTCTCTTCCTCTCTGTAAAAAAATCAATCAAATGTATTTTTTTAAAAATGTCAAAAAAAAAAAAAAGAGCTTAACAGATGCAGGGCAGCAGGTTCTGTTACATCATCATGGGAGCACACCACTCAACCACAGCCCCCACTGAGAAGGAGTCCTTGGTCATTGGTAACAGTTATTCTGTGTTGTCACTTAGGGCTGTGCCATCTAGAACCGTCCACATAGGAAAGCATCTGTTCAAAAATGTCTGCAGTGCAAAGCACTAGCTTCCATAGCTTCTGACTTAAACTCCTATCGAAATTCCAGTAAGATGGATCTGGACAAAGTCGGGCAGCACTTGAAGAGATGCAGGCCGTTCCATTTGGGCGCACACACACGTACTGATTCGCAAAGGAGGGTCAAGCTGGGAAGAAAAAGGATTCCTTTGTCATTTGTCTGGGCTGCTTAGGTGTTCTGTCTGAGATTGCACATGCAGGGCATTTTACTGTCCATCTCAGTTCTTAACTTGAGCTCAGTGTTACTAAGTCATCATAGCCCGTATGTCTGAAGAACCTTCATCGTAACTCTTATTGTTGTTATTAAGGGGACTTGAGGCAGCTTTGTTTGAGTAAGAAGTCCTCAGACTTTGAAGATGGTGCTGAGGCAGAAAACTCTGCTCTCCGACTAGGAAGCCTTTGCTTTCCTTGCTGGAGCAGGGTCTTGGGCTGCAGAACTTACACACACCCTTCCTTTATAAGGTTATTACGACGGTGTGTCAGGAAATGGATTGGACTTGGGTAAAAACTTAGCCTGTTTCATGTCCTTTTCTCTGTACTCATTCATTCGATCTTCACTGTAGTTGTGCCCAGTGCTGTGCTAAATAATTTACATCTTCAGTGAGTAATGGCAGCACCGGGTGTCAGGTGCGCTAACAGGTAAGCGGGAGTGCGGGGGGCTGAGTGGGGGACATCGGACGAGCTGAGCAAGGAGTCAGACAGGGCTTTTCAGCCCCTCGAAGATAAGGGGAGGGCATTTGGCCCACATCCACGGAGGAAAGGGCAGGACGTTTATATTTGGGTTGTACATCGTGGTGAAGAATGTGCTAGGGGATGAGGCCAGAGAGTGTGACTTGCCTGTGAAACGACATCCTTAGACACTGAGAGGCCAGTGTCAGTATTCTCCTGTAAGTAACTCTTCCCATTCTGGTCTTAAAAGCAGTACATACTCTAATCTGGAAAATACAGGGGAGAAAAGGAGACAAAAAGAGAACCATCTGTAGCCCTACCACCCAAGCACAAGCTACATCATTTTGGTATCCAGTCATCTCTGACATAACCATTGGCAGTCTGACCATGGTGAAGGTGGAGATGGGTGATGTACTGAAGGGAAAAGTAAAATAGTTAAAGATGAGAGAAAACACAGTGGTTGCTGGAGTCTGCAGTTGGCCTGTCCACCGCAGTGCAGGACTGGCCCTCCCCAACCTGATGCTGAGCCATTGGCCTTCACAGGCCTTGTGAGGCTCGGGATTTGCCCACAGACCTGCCGTAAGGAGCCCTGGAGGTGGGGGGAGGATGGGAGTGGGAACAGCACCCAACAGCAGGCTTTATTTTAGCACGTAGTCACGATGGCACCTTTTTGGATCCATCATATAATTGCTGTGTAGCGCAAATGATCTTTACACCTCTAGATGCTGCTTATAAAAGTGTACCTAAATATTGCACCTAATTAAGTAAATCATTTATATTAAATCCATTTTGATCTATTTGTTGTAGGGTTTCCCACCTCTTCCTCTTGAATATTGTTGACTGTGGTTCCTTCTAGAATATTTTCTATGCACTATTTTTTATGCTACTTAAATTGCATTGTCTGCAGATTGGTAGCCAGCTTACTTCTACTTAAAGGTTGCAATGATTGGTATATTGCAGGGATTTAGACTATTGGATATTGGTACCCACTCAACCTGCAGCCCCATTGAGAAGAATCCTTGGTCATCAGCAACAGTTACTCTGTGTTGTTACTTAGGATTGTGCCACCTAGCACCGTTCATGTAGGAAAACGTCTGTTCACAAATGTCCACAATGCAAAGCATAGCTTTTGACTTGAACTCACATTGAAAATCCTGTTTGTTTTCTTTTTTAAAATTTATTTTCTTTATTAATTAAGTCACTACATATGTGTTCTTGTTGTCGTGTGTGTGTGTGTGTGTGTGTGTGTGTGTGTGTGTGTGTGTCCCCTCCCCCTGCCACTTCCTCACTAATTCCCTCGTCCCCCTGGTGTCTCTGTTCATTGGTTAGGCCTATATGCATGCATACAATTCCTCCTCTTCTCCCCCCACACCCCTTCTCACCTTCCCTCTGAGGTTTGATGGTCTCATCGATGCTTCTCTGTCTCTCAATCTGTTTTTGTTCATCACTTTAAGTTGTTCATTATATTCCACAAATGAGTGAGATCATGTGATATTTATCTTTCTCCAACTGACTTACTTCGCTTAGCATAATGTTCTTCAGGTCCACCCATGTTGTTGCAAATGGTAGAGGTTCCTTCCTTTTTACCACAGCATAGTATTCCATCGTGTAGATGTGCCAGAGTTTTTTAATCCACTCATCTGTTAATGGGCACTTAGGTTGTTCCCAAATCTTAGCTATTGTAAATTGTGCTGCTGTGAACATAGGGGTGTATATATCCTTTCTGATTGATGTTTCTAGTTTCTTTGGGTAACAAGTCTCTTCTTATACTTGAATTTAATTACTTTGGAAACGTCTGTCCTTCCCCCACATAACATATTTTAAAATGTAGACACATGTTGTACATCTGATGTCATATTTCCTAGGTACAGTCATAAGACAAACTCAGTTGCATGTATGATTCCCAATTGGCGTCATCATTGTTGAGTGCGTGGTTCTTCAGTAAGTTTATGTGCCACATCAGCTTAGTCATTCTTAAGGCTTAGTGTAAGTAAAGCTGCCATTGAATATTTTTGGCAGCATATGCTATTTTCCAAATCTAAAATGTATTTATTTAGGATAGATTCCTAGAAGTGGAATTAATTGGTTTTAACAAGTTTGGATATTTTTATGGCTTTTGAAACATGATGCCACATTGCTTGCTGTTTGTTCCAGTGCCAGTCAAGGTTTCCAAGTCAGTCAGGAGAGTGTTCGGTGTCTGCTGTCAGGAAGACTCTCGAGGAGCCCCCTACGGAAGTCCCAGGAGAGGGAGCTCTGAACTAAGCCAGGCAGGAGGGCTGATGGGGCGGCCCAGGGCTCCGAGATTTGGGAGCCACACACCTGGTACTTGGTGAGGTAGGAGGATAGAGAGAAGGGTCCTGAGAGGCTGGGGTGGCACTCCAGCTCCTGGCTAGGCTGGCTGCTTTGGAGGTTGACAAGTGCTTTGTCTTGACAAAGCTGTGCTGGCTCTTGGGGGAGCAGGTGAGGGATGCCCTGCGCTTCTCTGGAGGCTCGGCTGTGTAACACTGGAGGCTGGGATGCTGTTTTCTTGGTTAACGTCGGTTGGTCCATCCTTGCAGGTGGAAGGGGTGCCAGGTCCTCAAAGTCTTGCTGCCTGTTTGGGTATTGTCTGGCGTGGTGCCCAATAGCAAGCCCTTGGCCCACAGGGAAATGAGTGCCCACATATCTGTGACAGACTGCCAGCAGACACACCACCGGCGGGAGCCTTCTAGCTACGCAGTGGGTTTAAGTGGTACCGGTGCGGAGAGGTCTGGAGGTACATCATCTGGACAAAGTCCTGCATCCACACTCGGTGGGAGGCAGGCTGAGTAGCAGGCTTTGCCAACAGCAGCAGCTCTGGTGAAGTCCAGGGGGGTGAAGTAGCAACGGATGGGGCCATGCAGACTTTATTTAGGAAGGACCCTGTTGAGTAGAGGGGTTGCTGTGGCAGAGAGTTGTGTTCTCTATCCTCGTTGCCTCCTCTCCTCATGCATGCTGCCCTCACTCCTGGTACCTGCACATGAGGCAGGTTCTCCTGCAGGCACCCATTTCCTGCAGGCATCCATCTTCCTCCTCCTGGGAGAGAGGGACTCTGGAATAAGTCACATTTTTTTCTGATTTTAAAAATAATACACATGTAAGATAAAGCAGAGTGCAGGTTGCAGATAGAAAGAAAACAGGCATATTGCTCCTGATACTGGTTCATCTAGACTAGTGGTCGGCAAACTCATTAGTCAACAGAGAGGCAAACCGCGGCTTGTGAGCCGCAGTTTGCCAACCACTGATCTAGACCTTTAGTAAAATGTACAAAGAATATAGAGCAAGGCTTGCTTTTTCCTGTCTTTTCTGAGAACAGGGGAATATGAAGTATGTGCTTGGCCAGGGAGGTGATAGTGAGGGTTTCTCATACTCTCTAGGATTGTGGGAACATGGCTGACGAATCCTTTCCAGGTAGTTAAAGGGTCCTGACCTGAATGGGGCTTCAGGCTTTCTATCTCCTTGCTACAGGGTGGGTGTGAGAGATGTATAGGCTCTCACTTAATTGCCTGGAGTTATGGTGGGTTTGCAGTGCAGTGACAAGAGCAGAGATAGCCGTACTAAGACTGAGTATAGTGGAGGGCTTGGCCCCCTCCATCCCCTGCAAGGCCACAAGCACGGGCTGGGCAAGGGGAGGATCAGGCATCTGGGCACTGGATGCCCCCACATGGCACCCCTTAACTCCTTCCAGTAGTGAATCTAATCAAGCCTCCAGACTTAATGAGCCCACTGGGTATTTGACAGGAAATCCAGGAGTAGAACACATTTAATGACACCAGGAAGAAACCAGACAAATCCAGAATTGGTGCCTATTTCTTCCTCAAGTCAATGACACTGGGGAGATGAGGGAGTGAACTGTTATAGGTTAAAGGAGCCTTAGGCCACCTAACAATCAGTTGTAGTATCCGTGCCTTGTTTGGATCCTGATTCAAATAAACCATGAAAAGACTTTTGAATAGTTGAGGAAATTATTACATGATGTTAAATTATTACATAATATTGAATTATTATATGATAAGGAGTTATTGTTAATTTTAAATATTGATAGTATTAAAAAGTCCTTAAATTGGTAAACTGAGGTATTCAAAGAAAATGTCATGATTTTTTTATCTGCTATATACTATGGTGAATAATAACTAAAACTTACGTTGAATGATTATTGAATTCATATGCTAGGTAAATAGGGTGCATTGTACAAGTATTTTCCACTTCTTTGTGTGTTTGAACATAAGTTCTGAATGCTGTGTTAGACCCACTTGTTGTTCCTGTTTTTAGATGAACGAACTAGGCTCAGAGGTTAGTCTTAAGGTCATGAGTCTGCTGGCAGTGCTAGCACTTAACTTGGAGCATTATGTTAGTCCTGAGCACTGCCTGACTGGCAAACACACCTCACTCCCCCATCTGCCCTCTCTGCCCTCCTCTGACTACCTCCTCAGGGGCCTCAGGTGACAGTGAATGCATTATACCCAACAGCAAGTGGAAGAGGAGTAAAAGCCACCTTCAGAACAGAGATAGAAGCTGTTTTGTGTATTATTTTTTCCTGTGCGTTGCTTATTTTGACATCAAACCAAAGGCTTATCTTTCTTATTTTCAGTTAAAGATGTTCTCAAAACCTTAAAAGTTCATCGAGATGTATTCTCTCCCCCACCCCCTGAAGTATTTTATTTGAATTGACTCCTGCTTGATGGTTCTCTGAAGGTGCTTTTCTGTTGCAGGCGGATATCTGGTCCCTGGGCATCACAGCCATAGAGCTTGCAAAAGGGGAACCGCCTCATTCCGAGCTGCACCCCATGAAGGTTTTATTCCTCATTCCAAAGAACAACCCTCCGACGCTGGAAGGAAACTACAGCAAGCCCCTCAAGGAGTTTGTGGAGGCCTGTTTGAACAAGGAGCCGAGCTTTGTGAGTTTCAGACCAGAATGGCCCACATCTCTCCATGCATGGCTTGACTTGGTCCAAATCCATCTTATTGGAATTTATTTTATCACTAATGTCAGCTGCCTTCACAGTCTCACGTGTTTTCTTTTTCTACACGGGTATGATCGATTTCTTTGCATTGAAAATACGTTTTTATTGTTATTTTATCTTAAAGAATAAAATTTATTTTTTAGCTTCTTATACCTCATTGAGCTTGGAGACTATTCTCCTTAATATTATATGTGTAATAATACGTTTTTCATTTTATAGTGGTAGGTCAGGCTATAAATTATTAAGCTATTTTTAATAATTGCAAAGTCTGGCCTGAAAAATAATGGCAAAATAATTCTTAAAGTAAATGTTTTCAATTTCTTCTTGGCATATGTCAGGAAAGAAAGGCAAATAAAATATAAGTGAACCACCCACTTTGCCCAACCCCATTCTTTATGTTTGATGGTCTCTGGCAGAGCAGTGTAGCAGTACCAACTACATAGCGTCAGCCTAATTTTCTCTCTGAATTAGGACATTATTTTGAAAGTTATGTGTATATTTTGGTGGTGTGTATAGCACCATATGTCCTTGTTTTATCTATGAATTTTCCAGCAGGGTTAGCTGGAACCCCCACTTCTGTTCATGAACTCTTATCTAAAAATGGGTGATTAGTTTTACAAGAGCACCGTGGTTTTCTAATATGATGCCAGTTTTGACAAAAGAATTGGATGGTGAGTGCAACCTATTCTGAGATCCTCAAGGGGTTGCAAAGTACACCAACCATCAGTGGTGTGGTGCTGCTGTTCCCCATTGCCACAATGCTCTGAAATTTACATCATGCTGTTCCAGTCACAAGGCACCAGCACCCAGAGTTACACCCACACACATCTGTATCTTCCCATTAAAGACGTACTTCCAGCCCAGCCGGTGTGCCTCAGTGGTTGAGTGTTGACCTATGAACCAGGAGATCATGGTTTGATTCCTGGACAGGGCACATGCCCAGGTTGCAGGCTCTATATCTTGAAGGGGTGTGCAAGAGACAGCCAATCGTTGATTCTACCTCCCCCCCCCCCTTCCTCTCTGAAATCAATACAAATATATTTTAAAAAACAACAAAAACTCATACTTCCAGTATTGGCTTGCTTGTCAGTGTACATATCTCCACTCAGCCTTGACCCCAGTTGCACTGAGAAAAGGATGAGAAGCTGAGAATGCAAGCACTTCTGAGATGTTTGGAGTTTCACAGTCCCATGGACAGGGTGAGAAATACCTGAGGTGACCCACGTTTTTCACAACCTTAAACTTGAGAAACATGCCTGGCACTTGTTAGGAAAGCTTTAGAAATTCAGAGTAAGCGGCAGCTTAGTCTGACTTGTGTTGTTTGTGTATTCCTCCTGCCTGCTCCAGTTCAGGCTTCACTCAGCCGCCTTGGGAAGCATGTTCCCTGTAATTGATTTTGCCAACCTCAAGGGCAGAGCAGTTGGCCATGGTCAAAGCATGCTGTCTAGCTGTGGCTGTCCTGAGCCCAGGGCCTGGATGCCGTCCTCACTGGACCACAAGGACAGGGAAACAAGCATTTCTAAGTTGGAGCTGACTGACTAAGAACTCAGGTACTCTGAGCAATTAAGAAAAAGGAATCTCCTGATTCCTTTGTAGTTTCTTCTAGATGGATCCAAATGAACATGTTTCTTATTTTGGGGGACGGGGCCAAATATTAATATAGTAAGTTAACAAGGTAATACAAAACATGTTTTCTCTCTTGTCAGCATTTGCAATAAAATGTTTCATAGAACCTAGGAGGCATATTCTAGCTCTTTTGGATGATTTCTGTGAAATTCTCTGGAGCATTTTCTAGGTAAATAGGGTGGTTTTCTGAGAACTTAACATTAGATACTAAATGCTACTGTACACAGAGTCCCACCCACGGGTACTGAATGACTTATTCTTTGAATAGGTCTTAGGGGGAAAAACTTTGAAGTAGAACTTGCTTTTTTAGGTATTAATGTGGTTATTTGGCTTTTTTTTTTTTTTTTTTTAAATCCTCACCTGATTATTTTTTTCCATTGATTAATAGAGAGAATAGGAGGGAGGGAGAAAGGGACGGGGAGAGAGGGGGGGAAGAGAGAGAGAGAGAGACATCAATTGATTGCCTCCCACAGGTGCCCCCACCGGAGCTAGGGAACCTACACCTGAGAAGTATTGCCCTTGACTGGGAATTGAACCCATGACCCTTTGGTGTAAGGGCCGACACTGTAATCCCTGAGCCAAACCAGCCAAGGCTGTTTGGCCTTTTGAGGCGGAAGTCTAACCTTTGGAGTAGAATCAAGTGGAATGCAGAGACTTCATCTCGTGCTTTTTCTCTTTTTCATTGTTTGGTGGTTTGTTTCCCAGAGACCCACTGCAAAGGAGTTACTGAAACACAAGTTTATAATACGCAATGCGAAGAAAACATCATACCTGACGGAGCTAATCGACAGGTACAAGCGGTGGAAGGCGGAGCAGAGCCATGAAGACTCCAGCTCAGAAGACTCTGACACGTAAGTCTCCCCATCCGAGTCGTTGGAGCGTGTGCGAGCCAGAGCATGTACCCCTGGCTGTGCGCCCCTGACTGCGCTGTGCCCGAGAGTGTGGTGTTCAGTCTAGTCTTTTCTTTGGGGTGGGCTTTGGGTTCCTTTCCTTTTACTTTTTCCTAAAGACAATCCAGGTTGATGGTTCTCCTTGTGTTACGGAGTTTTCCTGCATGAAGCCTGAGTGATAAAACTGCGTAAATGGAACACTGATCAGATGAAACTGCTTTAAATACATTTTTAAGAAGATACGAATGTATGTTTTTATGATCTTGTGTTGTGTCTGGTAGAGGCTTTGCACTGCACCAGGAAGCTACTAAAAACCGGTGTCCAGTTAAGCACCTAGGAATTCCGTTAGCTGAGGATGAATTGGGTGGAGGGCCATTTCAGGGGAAAGCTGGGCTTATGGCTCTGACATAAAGGGGAAAGGAATCCGAATGTCGGGATGAGAACAAGTGTTTTCTGAAGGTCTTCAGGCAATTCCATTATAAAGCCAGCAGTGAGAACCACGGATCAGGAATTGTTGAGCTCCAGACGTTGAGAAATGAGGGTGGTAGCACTGGGGATGGAAAGAAGAAGGTGGAGTCTGGCCATGGCTTTGGGGAAAGGAGGCGGCGGTCCAGACTTTGGCATGTGGCAGGTGCCGCTGAAATGGGGACACTGGAAAAGATCTGGGGGAGAAACCGAGTTTGTGTGGGACGTGTTCAAGTTGCTGATAGGATGTCCGAGAGGGTGTGTCCAGTTGAGAGTGGCATTGAGGCTTGAGTTTGGGAGAGATGTCTTGGCAGATGGTACAGATTTAGAGTCACCTAAATCTGTACCATCGTGGTCATTGGAGCCAGGAGAACAAATGGTGTCCTTCCCAGCATGTCTGCAGAGTGAGAAGGGCCCTGCAGCCCAGCACCAAATCTTAGGAAATGCCAGTGTAAGGCTGAGCCTGTCAATGACATGGGTCAGAAGAAATTCAGTTTATCCCATTTGGGAAGATATGCTGCTTTCATTTGAGGAGGATGGGGGAACGGGAAGTGTGGATGCAGCAGGCATTGTGGGAAGTTGTGGGGATCACACTGTGATGGTCTCTCTTCTCTGAGTTGGGAGGCAGGCTTGTCTTATGAAGCCCAAGAGTGACTGGAAGTGAGTGTCACTGTTGGGGAAGGGGAAGAGTGGAATTGCTGTGGGGGGTGAGGGTGAGACGGAGAAGGCATGTGTGGGAAGCTGGGCAGCCTAAGTGCGCAGTTGGGGTTTGAGAGGCCACCTGTGGGGTTTTGGCCCCACAGAGCAGCTCATCACGGGTTCTCCTGGATTTCTGTGTTAAGGGAAACGGACACGGATGGTCAAGCATCTGGAGGCAGCGACTCTAGCGACTGGATCTTCACGATCCGAGAGAAAGATCCAAAGAGTCTTGAGAATGGAACTCTTCAGCCATCGGATTTTGACAGAAATAAGGTATGTTTGTTGGTATGAGAGGGACCAACACTTGTCACCAGTCAGCAGCATTTTCAGTCCCTTTCTGTCAGGGTGAGGTGGCTCCTCATGGCAGCCTGCTTTGGAGTTTTGCTGACAGTGAATTGACAGAGCAGGAAATTTTGTTCGGCTGATTACTCAAAGTCAGACCTACAATGCTGACTTCTGCTCTCTGTAGGCCTGCCCTTCTGTGGGATCAGCATTTCCTGATGCTTGAATATACAGTGGGAATTACGGGGTGTGGGATTAGGTGAAGTTTGAAATGACTTTCTAGCTCTCTTGACAGAACTGTCCTTATTTTGCATATATGGTTATTCATGTAAGCTACTAGAATTTTGGGATTAAGTTTTATTAAAAGTCATTAAAACCACAGTAGCATATCACCTCAGAATTGTAAAATGACTATTTCAACAAACAATAAGTGCTGGTAAGGATGTGGAGAAAAGGGAACCCTTGTGCACTGATGGTGGGAATGCAGACTGCAGCCACTGTGGAGGTTTCTCAAAAAATTAAAATAGAACTACCATAAGATCTAGTAGTTCCACTTCTGAGTATTTATCTGAAGAAATCCAAAACACTAATTTGAAAGAATATATGTATACCTATGTTCATTGCAGCATTATTTACAATAGGCAAGATATGAAAGCAACTTAGGTGGTCATCAGTAGGTAAATGGATAAAGATGTGGTACATATATACAATGGACTATATTACTAAGTCATAAGAAAAGAATGAAATCTTACCACTTGTGACAATATGGATGGACCTAGAGGGTATTTATGCTAAATTAAATAAGTCAGACAGAGAAAGACAAACACCATATGATTTCACTTACATGTGGAATCTAAAAATAAATAAATGAACAAAAGAGAAACAAATTCATTGAACAATCTGATGGTTGCCAGATAGAAGAAGGGCTGGAGGACTGAATGAAAAGGTGAAGGGATCAAGAAGTACAAATTGGAAGAACTAATAGTCCCGGGATGAAGAGCACACAGGAAATATAGTCACTCATGTATTTGCCGTGGATGGTATCGCATGGGTGCTAGACTTTTCCAGGGGAGCACTTCATAAATTACATTATACTTGGGTAGCACCTGTCTGAAGTTTGTTGAATTTTTGTAAATGTCAAATATTTCTAATTACTTTTTTTTTTCTTCCCCAAGATGAAAGACATCCCAAAGAGGCCTTTCTCTCAGTGTTTATCTACAATTATTTCTCCTCTATTTGCAGAGGTAAGATGCCCAGCTGACTTGGTTGGGGGAGGAGAGGAGGGAAGCATGAGAAGGGAGAGGAAGCAGGGGGAGTATTGCCAGTGGAATCTGGGAGGTGAGGACTTCAGGAAGTGCAGGCCGATGCTCTAACCATTGGGCAATGCCGGCCAGGGCCCATTTCCTCCTTTTGTATGATGTTTGGAAGATTGGTCCTACTGGTTGTCTAGATGTTCCCTTCCTTTCCTGTGACCCTGCTGTTGTACCTTCTCCAGGATCAAACAGGTGATTAGGGAAATGGGGTGTATTCTTTCATTTGTCTGAAGCTGTTATTGGGGCACTTTGAAGAAACTATTCTGAAGTCATTATTCAGAATTAATGAATTAATCCTGGAGGTAATGATTTTTTTTCTGGCTAACCTAAAGGCCAGGCTTCCCAGGTGTTCTGTATGATCTTTCCCCGGGAGAAGGAGAAACCACTGTTTGCAGAATGAGATTGATGTGGGGAATGGTAGCATGTGTTCATAGGAGCTGGAAAAGCCAAAGCTGTTTTGAAAATTGATCATTAAAGATGAAGTTGAGGAGGGGACTCCTGACGAGGAGGCCATGGTTTTTCTCTGCTGCTGCCACCTGGAGCCTGCACCGAGGGCTCTCAGTCCTGCCCTTGGCTGCGTCTTGTCCTGAGTAGCTCACCCTTTTGCATTGCACGTTTTTGAATTGACCTTACAGTGAAGAAGGAGCCTGCAAACTGTATAATGGTTCTCATGGGAGCAGAGGTGTCAGAGGAGGCATGCAGATCCCCGAATTTAGAGCTGGCACTTAGTTACATGAACTAGAATATTTTGAGAAAAGAGGTCCAAAAAAGACAGTTTGTCAGCATCTTAGACCAACCCATCAACCATAGTAAGCTTTAGATTAGATAGCCCCGGTGGAAACCAGCACTGAGTAATTTCAAAATTACTTTTCTGGAATAAGACTGGGTTGAAATGGAAAAAGAAAACAGGACAGCCTATCATGAACAGATTTGAAAAGGTGCACAGGACGCCAGTTGTCTCTGCTAACGCTAGTGCAGGTGGGGGCTCAGGTCTGACTGATGACCTTTCTGTACAGTGTTTTTGGCATCCAAACACTTCATTGAGAGGGATGGGGAGTGAACCAGTGGCTGTGCTGGGTCCCTGCCAGGACTCGTGTGGCTGGAGCCATTGTGGTCCACACGTTGTGTTATTCTCTAGAACAGATGCTCCTTGGTTTCTGTGCTCGTGTGTGTCATGCTGTTCATGTTTGTGTCTTTTAAGCTGAAGGAGAAGAGCCAGGCATGTGGTGGTAACATGGGGTCCATAGAAGAACTGCGAGGGGCCATCTACCTGGCGGAAGAGGCCTGCCCCGGGATCTCGGACACCATGGTGGCCCAGCTTGTGCAGCGGCTCCAGAGGTAACTGCCACCAGCCTGCAGCGAGGACACCGCCGCTGGGCAGGAGAGCCCGCGGAGGTCGCTCCATGCTTGCCCTCTGCTACCCTCCCTCCGCCAGCGTGGCTCTTTGTTCTTAGTCTTTTCTGTTACGTTCTTGTTCTCAGTTCTGAAAACCATGTGCACGAAGGACACAAATCTGGAAACGACTGGGAAGGACCACAGGACTTAGTGGCACATAAATATCTGTCTGCTCTAATGATGCAGCCTAGTTATACAGTCCTTAGCCATATGTCGGTAATTCTCCATTTGGGTTTAAAGTCAAATGTCCAAAAACTCCTAGAAGTTTGGGCTTGGCGAGTGCAGTGAGAATGGATGTGGTCTGTGATTTTCCTTGGGTGGCTGGTTTTCTATTTGGCCTCTTGTCCTGACCTGTGTACACCGACAGATCTGCGGGGTGCTCCCCACGCCCACCAGTGGCCCTGAGTGCCGGCGAGGATAGTGATCTGGGTCTCCCTACCCACTCTCTCGAACTTTTTTTAAGTCTCTGGTGGAGGAGGTCACTCAGACTGCCCTAGCCCCCAGCGTAAGTACAGTCATTTGGGGGAGTTTAGAGATAACGGAGGTGAGCTGTCCAGCAGCTCTGTGGCTCCATCTCTCTGCCATGCCCCAAACCTTCAACACTCCTGAGCATAAGTCATGTCACTGCTTTGACATCCACCTTCCAGGTGACTTTTCCAGGCTCCTCAGTCACTTCCAAATGATGGCAGGGCTGGTGACAATCGGGGGCCTTGCAGGTCTCTTCTGAGGGGTCAGCTTTTCAGTACGTAAAAAAGTTTGGGGTATGTGGGTCCCCTTGGCCACTTCTTAGGCGTGATGGAAAGAGCCACCTGATGTCCTGTGAAGAGTCCCTCTAAAGAGGGGCATCCAGAGAAAACCTTAATTCTGACCCTGCAAGTGCCACGCCCTGGTTCCTTTGTCAAAGACACCCCAACTTTCTAACTTGCTTTGAGGCAATAGGCAGAATTGTTATCTCTACCCCTGTTCCTTTTGATATTAATGAATTACAGAAATAAAGGAAAACAGAATAAAGAGGTCCCTTTATCCTCATGGTAAGCACTGTTGTTACCATGTCTGTGGGTATCTATCCACCGTGTGTATGCAGTTAATTTCTAACATAGTTTTATTCTAGCGTTCATCAAATGTTTTATCTTAGCATCCCATAAGCTTTTCTCCTTTCCTATATAATAAAAGCATAGTATGCAGATTGATCCCTCTACCGGAGTTCATCTGGGAGTTTAACCAGGGGGTGGGGCTGGCTGGAGGCAGTACTTGGTTGGCCCTGGAGGCTGGGAGGCCGGCAGCCGGCAGCTGCTAGGGACCCTACCAGTACATGGATTTTGTGTGCTGGACCTCTAGTTACTTAATAATGGTCCGTTTTTCTTAATTTCAATAAGAAACTTGGTATCACTTCCCAGCTCATTTTAGTGACATTTACTTCTGATTAAGAAAACACCTTTAAATCTTGAACAGATGAAACTAACCCAGAAACCAGTCCATTATCTTGTTTTGGGTTTTGTTTTCTGCTTTTGTAGAGTCACTTTTTAGGACTGATATTTTCCACATTGTCTCAAATTGCTTGAAATTGTAAGTGATTTATATACGTGACTTGATTTCCCTGCAGCTGCAGGGTTCGGGTGGTGGCCTGTGTGTTTAATTGGTTTTTCTCTCAGTTCTCCTTTCTTTAGTTGCTAATTTGAGCTAATCTGTACCAGTGCTATCTAATAGAAAGATAATGTGAGCTATACAGAATTTAAATTTTTCTAGTAGCCACATTAAAAAAAAGTGAAAAAAAATTGCTGGCCAGGTGGCTCAGTTGGCTGGCATGTCCTTCTGTACAGCGAAAGGTCGCAGGTTTGATTCCAGGTTGCTGGTTCAGTCCCTTGTTGGGGTTCATAAGGGAGGCAACTGATCAGTGTTCCTCTTCCTTTCCCCCTCCCTCTCTCTACTAGTAAAATCAATTCGAAAAACATATCCTCAGGTGAGGATTCAAAAAAAGTAAAAAAAGGAGCAAGCGAAATTAGTTTGTAAGATATGTTTTTTAACCTATTGCATCCAAAATCTCATTTTAATATGTAATCAGTATTAGCAGCATCAGTGAGGTATTTCACATTTGTTTCAGTACTAAGTCTTTGCAGCCCAGTGTGTGTTTCACGTTTCGCACACATCCTTTCGGGTGCTCAGCAGCCATATATAATGCAAATATAACTGCCCACTGTCCACATTGTGCTTGAATTTTACTTTCCAGTGATGTCTTAGACGTGCTGAGTCAGCATTCTTTTTCTTCCCTGGACTGGTCTTGCTTGTGTCTCTTTCCTTCGTGGTGTGCGAATCCTGTCTTCTCCTCAGTCATCAGGGGTCCTTTTCTGCTTCCCCCAGGCCTTGGCTGCTACTGTCCATTTACTCCTCCTGGGATCCCCAAGCTCTTCTGTGTCCCTCACCCAGATGCCGCCAAACCACAGAGGCCCTTGCGCATGCCTCATACTTCATTCCCAGGTGCATTAGTCAGGGGATTACCTCAACAATGAGAACCGGCCCGTGGTTGAGTATCAGCCTATGAACCAGGATGTCACAGTTCAATTCTAGTTGAGGGCACATGCCCAGGTTGTGGGCTCGACCCCCAGTGTGGGGCGTGCAGAAGGCAGCCAGTCAAGGATTCTCTCTCACCATTGATGTTTTTTTTTTCTCTCCCTCGCCCTTCTTCTCTGAAATAAAAAAATATATATTTAAAAACAAATAAACAAAAAAAAGAGAACCACCTTTCGAAAGCATTTCAAAGGCTTCCTGTAGGTCTTAGTTAACATACGGATCCTTTGTGTGGATCCACTCCTCCCAGGACTTCGGCATTTATGTTTCTTGAAAAGTGAGCCTTGGGGTCTGTGGCTAAAGCATGCCTTTCAGGAGGAATTGTGGGAGCACTTGTTCTCCGGCAGAGTGCCGAGTATTATAAATGCCTGGGAAGAGGAACTCTAGGTTGGAATACTTACAAAAGTCCTATTAAACGTGTCCTCAGTCATCTGCTGTGACTGGGTCCGTTTTGAGGTGTCTGGGGGAACCATGACCATGAGGGGACCTCGCACTCTTTTTTTATATTCCAAAGCAAGACAATACTGTGGGATTGTTGGAAAATAGAAGAAAGTGTACATAATCCCACCACTCTAGCCCGTTATCATCGTTTTTGGTGCATTGCCTTCCATTATTATAATGTGTCTTGAACTTACGGATTTTTTACATTTCTGAAAAGTATAGTGCTCACATACTTTTTTGGGCATTCTTTTATGTTTGGGATAAACAAGTTGTAAAACTGTACTATTTTGCACACTTATTGACTTGTGTATAGGTTTCATTGCTTAAATATAATTACAATTTCTAATATGTTCTTTTATTCAGCCACTTTATTTACTTAACCATTTCTCTGTTGTTTGACATCAGATTGTTTCCTAATTATTGTAATTACAAAAAACCTAGGAGACCATTTCAGGAAGTAGGTTACCTGAGCAAGCCTCAGTTTTTTTGTGGCCAAACGTGTTTCTTTGCACTGGCCCTCAAACCAGCCATGTTTGTGCTTTCCTGGAATCTTACTCTGTCCTTGGTTAATACCGATTTTTCAATCTGATTATAAGTAAATGTGTATCATTTACTGTTTCAGTCATACGGTTTTCTCTCCTGGAAGGCTGAACCACCTTCTTTATTTTTATTACATTTAGTTTTTTTGTGGCTGAAATTAACTTAAAATTTTTTTGTTGGGATCATGATTTTTGTTCTTTTTTATGAATTCTTTATATAATAATCCATTGATAGTTGCTCCATATTTTGATGACTTGGCAGTGTATGAAGATTAATAGGACTTTAGTTATTGCTTGAATTTTTGCAAATTTTTTAATTTTGAGGAATTTTTGCAAATTTTTTTAATTTTGAGGAATGACATTTGTTTACTTCTATTTCTCTCTGTTTTTTCCTAGATACTCGCTAAGTGGTGGAGGAACTTCGTCCCACTGAACTTCCTTTGGCATTTGGGGTTTTGTTTTTTCTTTCTTCTTCATCCCGCTCCTTTTAAACAGTCAATGAAAGCCTTTGCTGACTCCGCTGAAGAGCTGGCCCCGCCGAGGCGGCCCCAACCGGCCTCCGCGTCCTTCCTCGCCGGCCTCGGCCGGAGAAGTCTAGATGTGGGAGGGTCAGCTCCTTCCAGCGACCATTTATTTTATTATTCTTTTTAATTTTAACCATAGTGCACATATCAAGGAAAGTGTCTTTAGAAACAAATACAAACCCTGAAATGTATATTTGGGATTATGATAAGGCAACTGAAGAAATGAACCTCAGGTATCCTGCTTTAAGTTGTGCTCCCCTCCCTCCCCGGGAGACGGAGAATCGCTCTGGTGGCTCAGTGTACAGATTTGTATATAGTGTCATTTTTACGGAAACCCTTTTGGCGTGCATAAGGAATCACTGTGTACAAATTGGCCAAGTGCTTCTGTAGATAATGTCAGTGGAGTAAATATTTGACAGGCCATAACTTGAGTCTATTGCCTTGCCTTTATTACATGTAAATTTTGAATTATGTGACCAGTGATTTGGGTTTTATTTTGTATTTGCAGGGTTTGCCATTAATAATAATTAATGCCCCTCTTAAGGAACACTCCTATTTGTACCTCAACAAATGCAAAATTTTCCTCGTTTGCCCTACAACCCTTTTGGTACACTTAGAAGTTGATTTCCTTTTTCATGGATGGTACTATTTCTTAGTGTTTTAAATTGGAACATATCTTGTGTCACAAAGCTTTAAATTATTATTTTAAGTTTCTCCCCGATGAAGTGCTCTCGTCTCACATTCGTTTGGAATCGTTCCACTGCCAGCGCCGCGCCAGCTGTCCGTCCTCCCATCTGATTCTGTTGCACCTGTAGTGAAGGCTGCATATCGTCTTTCCCATCTAAAATGTCTGGATGCTCACACAAATAAATTTTATAACACTTCCCTTGCATACTCTCTGAAACATAACTTGAGAGGGCAGCGCGCCTGCTGTGTGTGTGTGTGTGTGTGTGTGTGTGTGTGTGGTGAGATGAGGCATTTTAGAACGCTCCAGGAAGAAGTGCCCAAATTCAAAATGCTGGATGTTCAGGTCAGTTCCCTATGCAACTTTAAGAATTAGTCACTGAGAAGATAGGATTGAGTTCTGCTGATTTGTAAAATTGCGCGCGCTCTTCCAGGGACCTCAGTTAAGGGTTATTTTGTTCACCTACAGGAGCCTGTGTTTGCTAGTGTGGCAGCCAGGTGCCTACTTTTCTTGGCTTGTGACAGGGTCTTGCTTGCCAATGGGGCATCAATCTCTGGGTTTTTGGTATGGGAATAGAGTTCTTACAGCAATTCGACTGTCTGAGGTATGCATGGCCCTTTTATATTTTTGATATGAATCAGTCACCTCTTGTTGGTGTGGCAGTTCTTGAGGGGAAGACAGGACTTTCAGAAGGGAGTTGCTGGGTAAACTGGGATGGAAGGTCAGGAGCCTGTCAGCCTAGCGCCCTGGAAGTTAAGAGAGGACAGAGGCCCGAGTGAGAGGCGTTTGGGTGGTTATTGTTTAGGTTTGGTAGTTTTAAATCCTAACATTTTGTTTTTTAATTTGAAGTAGATTTGTGTGAAATTTCTATAAAGGATACACTTTGGTTAGGGGGACACAGAATTGAGTTGCTAATTCTTATTGTGCTATTCTGCAGCAAGGATGTTAACATGAACAGTAAATTTTGTGTTTCCTTTTGTGTTTCCAAGAGTACTCTGTATGCGGGAGCTTTGATTTCCCATTGTGAGGCCTAAGCCAAAGATGAGTTTTGTTCATTACAGGAGAATCACTCAAAGATCGAGCAGTGTTCCCCCAAAGTGTTTGTCTGATTTTAAGATGGACAACCTAGATAGCAGCTGACTTAAAGGTCCTAAAATTTGCCCGTGGACAGTGGCATATCAAGACGCCGAAGCCAATCTTAAATACGAGTAATAGTTAGTAGATAGTCTGCAATCACTAGATTATTATACACAATGCTATCTCCCAGGTAAAGTAGAAAACAACTCTCTTAGTTGATTGGAAGTATAGTCTTGTTGATTAAGCTTCCTGGGAAAGATGTGGTTTAACTGAATGTCAAAAGTACATGCAGTCTCTTCTGAACTGTTACTTTCTGTAGCCACACAGACTCCGCTTGTCTTTAAGGGCATCTTCTTTAGCCAGGGAGGCTAGCATTTGGGTGTCCACTTCAAGTCCTTTATAAAAGATCAGGTACCAGAGCTACAAGGGAACCTGCCTCCGACCGTGTAGACTGCTGTTGGTGTTGAGCCAGACCTGGGAGCTCAGCACTCAAGATGGATTTGCTAACACTCGGAAGTCTCTCCATGCCAAACCCCAGCAGCTAAGAGCTTATCCGTAGAGACTGCAGATGGTGGTGGCGCTCCCAGCAGGGGAGATGGTTTCGCACACAAGCACAGCTACCACCTTTTGGAAGCTGAGACGGGGTGGGGCCCGACCGTCTTGATGTAACCAAGTGCCACACACCTTCCGAATCTGACAGTTTCGTTCTCACATTGGTCTTGTGGAGTGTCTAGTTCTTCATGTAGCATTTGTACCTTTCTTTTGGCAAAACATATGGTCTGTTTATAAGCGTTTTTATATGTTCTTCCTTAAAAAATACGGCTTCTGTATTTCCGCTATAAAATATGGCAATAAATGGGGAGTGCTGCAAGGTGTGTTCTTAAGCACAGGTACTGTATCACGCAAGGGTCAATAAAGTTCACAGAAAACAATGATTTTTGTAAGTTTGTGTCTTTATGTGTAGAGGGAATAGAGTGAACCCCTCTCCCCCAAATTCATATGTTGGAATCCTAATGCCCAGTGCGACGGCCCTAGGAGGAAGGGATTGTGTCATGAGGGTGGAGCCTTCCTGGTGCGATGAGTGTCCACACAGAAGAGACCAGAAACCCCTCGCCCTTCCACCATGTGAAGATGCGATGAGGCTGGCTGTGACCTAGGAAGGCTCTCAGCAGACACCGGACTTCTCAGCCTTCAGAACTGTAAGCCCCCCTCGGCCTGTGGCATTTTTATGATAGCCGGGATGGGCCAAGGACAGAGGGTGGCTCTGAAACTGTTCTGGCAGCTTGGGGGCAGTGAATTGCCCATATGATTTGGACTTAAGTTTTCTTTAATATTTTTATTGATTTGATTTTATTTTAAAAAATATATTTTATTGATTTTTCAGAGGAAGAGAGAGGGATAGAGTTAGAAACATCGATGAGAGAATCATCGATTAGCTGCCTCCTGCACACCCCCCCACTGGGGATGTGCCCGCAACCAAGGTACATGCCCTTGACCGTTATCAAACCTGGGACCTTTCAGTCCACAGGCCGACACTTTATCCACTGAGTCAAACCGGTCCCGGCTATTTTTGATTTTAGAGAAGGGAGAGAGAGAAACATCAAGGTGAGAATCACTGATCAGCTGTCTCCTGCACGCTCCCTGGGGATTGAGCCTGCAACCCAGGCATGTGCCCTGACCGGGAATCGAACAGTGACCACCTAGTACGTAAGTCTCCGCTCAATCACCAAGCCACACCGGAGTTAGGTTTCCTTTGGAGCAGGGAGCACAGAGGTGCTACTCAGATCTGAGCCGTTTCCAGCAAATTGTTTGAAATCCAGAAATACCGAGGTGGGCGTTTTCCTGCTCCTGCCTGCCATCGGGGAGCTGGTCTTGCCCCTGGGGTGTACGTGGGAGAAGCCTGAGGGAACTCATCTCGAAGGCCCCTTTCCTAAAAGAAGCGAGGAGCCCCTCCCTGTCTGTTCACCCTCCTCCACGAGTTTAGTCCTTGTCTTACATAGCCACCGGGATCCATCTCCTAGGAATGCCTGGTTTCCAGGTGCAGAGACTACAAGATATGTTTTGCAAAACGCCGTCTTGAAGAGTCTGGTTTTCTCTCTCACACACACCCCTGCAGTGACCAGCCAGCTCTGCCTCTTGCCGGCAGACCCACCCACCCAAATTAGGTGAAAATGAAATCAAGAGACAAGGTAGGTGGTTTTGCCTTAAAACTTCAGTATGCTGGATTGTGGCGTGAGGTATTTTTATTCCCTTTTGTTAGTACTTAAAACCATCTGGTACACATTGTAAGGCAAATGATTAACACATCTCAAGCTACTCGTCCTTGTGTACATTGCCGAGCCCACGCAGTCAGTCACAGCTCCACGGAGTCCTGCGCCTTAGGTGAGGGCTGTCCCCGCGGTGGTGGGGAGGGGAGGGCTGTGCCGATCGGCCACCCCCTCAGAGAAGGCTTAGGGACCCCGGGGAACAGTAGCCACCGCTCCCACAGAGAACAGGCAGACAAGTTCTGACTAGTGGGCCCAGCGTGACTGGAAACCATATCCCCTGTGTTGTCTGACTGTCAAGGTTGTGCAATGTCATACGGTCCTACCCCGTACCTGGGGGAATGAGTATACAAAGAAGGAAGAAAAGAGTGCTTTTTGGAGACAGGCACGATATATACTACTACTGGACTGCGCAGTTCCGAACCACAGTTGAGGAAGGATATAGATAGGTATGACGGGTGAGGGAGGACTCTGCACCACCCTTAAGGGCACGCTCACACCCACGGGAGCTCACAAATTCCATAACGCAACATCACAAATGGCCCTGCTCACTGACATACAGGTTTCATGCTTGTGAAACAGACAGCAAAACACCCACAGCTTACTATCTTCCCATGGTTATGTACCACTCACACACAGTACAGTGATCGTCTAGACGTCGCACCGGGCTTCTGCTTCTCCCGGCAGAAAACGACCCGCTCCAGTTCCTAAAGAGCCATCGCGCGGACCGTTTGGTCAGCTTGCACCAGGCAGCGGGTCCGGGAGCCGGCGTCTCACGGGAGCGTGAGACCCCACAGTGGCACGTCGTGTGCGGCGAATCGCTTACTAATCAAAGGAGTAACGTCCTATTATTATAAAAGTAGAAAGATTGGGGGAAAAGAAGAAACGAAATCTGAAAATGATCTCATTTGCTTAAGACTGTGCCGTGTGTATTGCAAACACCGGAGAATCCGTTTTCGTAAAACGCAGCAGCCTGGAGAGAGAAGGAGAGCCACTTGCCCTGTCTTTTGGTCAAACGGATGTGTCTGGACTGCGTTAAGGTGCAGTCGTGGAGGGGGGAGTTGTCATTTGGCACTATATTAATGACAGTGCTTTAATACTGGCACAAGCTCGAAACAGCCCGTCGAGGGGAGGACAGGAGATGGCCCCAGCGTCGGGGGTGGGGGCGCTTCTGTTCGGATGGGAAACGGACAGTGGAGAGACAAGGTAAGAAATGGTTCTGCAGAGACAGGTGAGAGAGGCTGTAAAACCGTGTGTGTGTTTTCCAGACAGGCGTTCATTTTACTAGGCATCGTTAACAGAACGGCTGAGCCAGCTGACGGCGCCCGGCCGTCAGTACACGTGGGATTCTTTGTGACTCAGAGAGTGGGCACGGGAGGCCGCGCTGGTGGCACTTCGGATCACCTCCATCCACCTAGAGCAAGAAAGCAAGACGGCTGTCAGGGGCCACTTTTTACAAACGCACATCTCTGATGTCTTACTTGTCATCTGCCATGTTAGCAGGTGAGTTCTTAAATGAACCGCCAGCATCCCTGTAACTGTTCCTCGGTCTGTTTGAGAACTGTTGCCCTCCCTGTACGAAGTTCACAGACGTGCCATGTCCGAGACGTGGCAGGCAGCCCGTCTCCTGTGAGCCGTGAGCGGTGAGGGGGCGCCTGGCTGTTGAGAAACGAACGCTCTACCTCGTAACCCTTCCCATGGACACGACACTGATGTGCATTCCGCTCTGCGTACGGGGCTGTTTTCTGTGTCTGAGTACATGTGGGACACGGGCCGTTATCAGATACCTGGGGACACTGGCGTTTTCTGGAGAGGTTGCTGGTTGTCACAACCGAGGGAGAGCAACTGACATGGAGGGGTAGTGGCCAGGGTGCACAGCATGGACCCTGACACAGAACGTCTGGTCTAAAATGTAGGTGGCCGAAACCGGTTTGGCTCAGGGGATAGAGCGTCGGCCTGCGGATTCAGGGGTCCCAGGTTCGATTCCAGTCAAGGGCATGTACCTTGGTTGCGGGCACATCCCCGGTAGGGGGTGTGCAGGAGGCAGCTGATTGATGTTTCTCTCTCATCGATGTTTCTAACTCTCTCTCCCTCTCTCTAAAAACAAACAAATAAATAAAATGTAGACGACACTCAGGCTGAGAAAACGTGGTGTGCCGAACTTCCTGCCCTCAGGGAGCTTACACTGGGCTCTGGGCGCTCCGTAATCGTAAGTCTTTTTAGGGCCTCACACCGAGGGCTGGCTTATCCTTGCCACAGCAGTGACAAGATCCCAACCTGGATAAACTTTCTAGCCCAGGATCAAGTTTACGAATTGCTTTGCCCCGGTTCACTGCTCAAGCCGTTGAGCCTAGAGGCCGCCGCTTTGGGAGGCTATGGGAGGTGGTCCTGGTTTGAAGCCCCTGCGCTCTCCTTAGGGACTGTGCACAGTGCAAAGCCAGCCCATCGTGGGGTCAGTGTCAGTAGGTGGTGAAGAGACAAGTTAGGTGGGAGACTGTGCCCTGTCTGTGCCCTGAGGACACCATAGGTGGTGGCTCCGCCCTGACAGAGGCGGACACAGTCTCCTCAGGGTGCCGTTCCAGGGCCCAGAATTCACCCTTGATGTTTCAGTGACAGACTGAAGCCACTCGTCAAACATGGTCTGGCTCTACTGTCTGAGTCTCACTGATAAGGGAACTCGGAGAGGCACTAGGATCCCTAAACTTCCTCATGTGGGTCTTTTGACCGGAAGCTTAACCTTTGACCACAGCCCATCAGGAATATTAGGACTAGCTGAAACCAGTTTGGCTCAGTGGATAGAGCATCGGTCTGCGGACTGAAAGGTCCCGGGTTTGATTCCTGTCAAGGGCATGTACCTTGGTTGCGGGCACATCCCCAGTAGGGGATGTGCAAGAGGCAGCTGGTCGATGTTTCTCTCTCATCGATGTTTCTAGCTCTTTATCCCTCTCCTTTCCTCTCTGTAAAAAGTCAATAAAATATAAATAAAAAAAAGAAAGAAATGTTAGGACTAAACCGCCACAGAAGCCACAGACTGATGAACACACGTTAGAGATTTAGAAGTGTGTATCGTTAACCAGCACTGCAGGTTAAGGATGGAGAATGTTTCTCTGGGAGCAGAAGGGGACTCCAGAGGAGGGACCCCAAATTCATCCTCAGCACCTGCCAGGGCGGGAAGGCAAGAGCGGGAATGCCCACAGTGGGCTCTCCGAACAGCCTGCCTGGGCGAGATGAGGGGGGACATTTACCTCTCAAACGTGTGTATTTAAGAGATGAGGGGGGACATTTACCTCTCAAACGTGTATTCACTCTCAGCCCGAAAGTAGTACACGTGGGACTTGAAGTGCAGCTTGAACACGTAGTCCTTGTGGATGTCCTCGGACTCGGAGGGGATGGTGAGCGAGTAGCCCAGCAGGGGCAGGCTGGCCAGGGGGTGATTGTCCTGGGGAGGCCAACGGAAGGTGGCGGTGGAGGGGTGGCCACTGGCGTTGAGCCGGGCTGCAGCCTCTTACCCTGCAGCCGCTCGGGGAGCCGAGGCGCCTGGTCCTGGCCAGTGCTCTGTGGGCCCAGAGTGCCCCCCAGCCAGGACACAGGCCACCAGTTCAGTCACTGCCCCTCCCCAACCCACCAGCACCCAGGCCGCCCTTCAGCGAATGATGTCAGCCTCCACCTGAGTGAAGGGTCTCATGCATGTGGCCTCTTGTCGGCTGCTTTCTCTCCATGCCTGCCCCATGACGGGGGGAGGGGGGTGTAATGTTGGGGGTCCCTGAGGCTCTCCCCAGCCTGCACACTAAATGCTCTATCCCAAGGGTCACAGGGCTCCTGCCCTGGGGGACACGGGGTGGGGTGGGGGTTACATACCTGGTGTGACTTATAGAAGAACAGGCAGAAGTTGGTGAACACCACCCACAGCTTCTGCCACCCGTTGCTGTTTTTGAATTTCCTCAGCAGGTTCCCAGACAGCTGGTTCTGAAAGACAAGCAGGCCTGTGAGGCTCACACACAGGGGGGCTCACACACAGTCCCCTCTGTCCAGGGGGGCTTCCTGAGACTGACAGTGGCCTTCCTCCCGGGTACGGGGACCACATGACGTGGGGAATTCCTCCTGTCACCTACGATTGGAAGAATTACATCCCCGTCTTCCCCAAAAGATGCGCTAACCCCAGTACCTCAGAATGTGGCCTTGGAAATGGCGCCCTCACAGCTATAATTAAAGAGGAAGCTGTAAGGAAGCAAGGCAGGCCCTTAGTCCCCAGGCGGATATCCTTCTGCGAGAGAGACCGACTGCAGGGACGGATGAGCCGAAGAACACCATGGCCAGCAAACCACACAAGGGGACGAGGCGAGGAGGGATCCTCCCTTGCAAGTTTGAGAGGGAGCTAGCCCTCTTGACACCTCGGTTTCCAGAGTCATGGCATAAATCTCGTTAAGCCACGCAATTGGCAGTTCCTTGTGATGGCAGCCAGAGGTAGGGATCCAACACCCCTCCACCAGGAGCCCTCCCTGAGCCCCACACCAGCGGCTCCTGGCTGCCATCTAGTGGCCCGGGCAGAACACTGGCTTTTGGGAGGGAGAGATGACCTCCCCCGAGGAGCTAAAGGAAGAGTAAGCGGCTGGGCATGCTGGTAGCCCCTGTGAGCACACAGCACTGCTGTGAACGGCCAGGCAGCCGAGGCGTCAGAGGTGCATGTCCTTGTGGGCTCTCTGCAGCCCCTCCATCACTGGCCGTGAACAGGACACCGAGAAGGCCGTCTACGCCCCTTGATGGCAGCTCATTCCCAGGGAGACTCACCGCAGTGGTGGGATGGCCACAGCTTTGTGAATGTGACTGACGTGTCCATTCACTTACGAGCGGTTACATGGCCACGCCTGCCCCAATGAACAAAATGCGTACGAAGTATACTGAGTCTACTTCCATCCCTTTGGTACTCATCCAGTAACTTGTATTTCACCCAATAAACATTTTAGAGTACCCACTTAAGTAAGGCGGGAGTTGAGACGAAAGGTTTAGATGTGCTTGCCCTCACGCTGCTCATAGTCTGACAGGAAGACAGGAATGAAGGAAATCGGGCTGACAGGACACAGGGAGTAGAGCTTGTCCTGTGAACTGGAGTCAGCTGAACTGGGGGGAATGCCACAGAGGGAGGGAGTGTCCTATCCCCCCCGTCTGGCTGCCACTCACCCACTGGCAGAAAGGCACAGAGAAACAGGGTTGCCCTAGGTCCCAGCAGGGGATGGCACAACCAGAGCTGGGGATGTGGTGCTGCTGTGACATCACAGCACATCGCACTGGAGGCCAGGAGGACAGCACACGTTCTTCTCATGCTGAGTCACATTCCCCAGAGAGTCCTAAAGACCTTTCTCTCAGATGCCATTACCTGCGGAGCGGGCCAGTCCCACCCTGTGGTATACACACTGGGTCGAGGCAGGTTCAAGAGAAGGCTCTCGCTGCCACTATCTTCAATCCTTTCTGGAACACTCAAGGGTATAAATTCTTAACCATTCCCACTGGCCTCGCCTCCCTGTGCCCCCGAACCTGCCTCCAGCACGTGTCAGCCTCCGGCTCTGCTCACCGGCCCAGAGCTCTCAGGAGGCCACACCCTTCCGTCTCTGAGGATGACTCTTAGGTCAGGACCAGTCTCCATCCTTGCCCCAGAGCAGCTGGCACTCCCTTTCTTTGCTATCTTTCACAGTGGCCTCATCTCCCTTCCCCCTCGCTTCCAAACTGCTCAGTCCCTGTTGGGTATAATGTATGTTCAATTCCAAAGTCCTTGTTTGGAAACCAAGCCTTTGCGAATGTTCACAAGTTAAGAGGAGGTCATACTGGAGCGTGTGTGTGTGTGTGTGTGTGTGTGTGTGTGTGTGTGTGTGGCGGTCCTAGTCCTGATGACCAATCCTATATAATAAAAGCATAATGCAAATCAACTGAACTGCGGAATGATTGGCGGAATGACTGGTTGCTATGACATGTACTGACCACCAGGGGGCATATGCTCAATGCAGGAGCTGCTCCCCAGGCCAGCCAAGGCAGGGCCAGTGAGCTGGTGGTGCCAGGCGGGCAGCAGCCCCCAATTGCCGTGCTGGTCACTCCACAGACAGGCCCTGATCACTGACCAGGCCTAGTGTCCTTATAAGGAGAGGACGACTATTAATACAAGACATGCAGCCATATTGAGGTTGAGGTCAGTGATGTATCCAGAAGACTAGGAACACCCGGGTTTCCCGTCAACACCAGAAGCCGAGAGGCATGGAGCCAACACCTGCTCCTGGACCACTGCCCTCCAGCTGCGTTAGAAGATATTCTGTGGCAGCCACAGACATCTAAGTCCCCGCCACCGACTCTCCTTTTGCCGTCCTTCCATCCCGATCCTCACCTGTGTCCAGATCCCTCCCGGATTTCTGCCTCCTAATGTCATTCTTAAAATAACTACCTTTTCACCTCCAATCCCTCCAAAGGCGAGTTTGCCTGCTGACCATCCCAGCCTCACGTGACCCCCCAGTGTCCGATGGCTTGGCCACAGACTTGTAGCTCATCTTTGTGGTGTCCCCAAACCTCCCCGCGACTCGTTCTCCCTGTGTGAGTCTCCAGGAGACACCTGGGGGAGAGGGAGCGGGGAGAGAGAGAAGGAACTGCTTGCTTCTCTTTGCCAGGTGGCAGGGCCCAGGCCTGGAAGAAGGGAGCTCACCTGTCAGGCGGGGTGGGGCATGCATCTGGCACCCAAAGGAGCCCTGGACTAGCTCAGTGCATGTACCTGGGGGAGGGGGATTTGGCAAGGGAGGGGTATTTGCTGTGACAGATGAGTCAATTGCGTGTTAAACCAGCATTTTTGCCACCTTAAAGCCACACCCAGGGGCTTGCTTTCATGCTCTATACGTCTTGGCAAACTTCTACAAGGGCCACATATTATAGTAAATATTTGAGGCTTTTCAGGCCAAGAGGCAAAATCAAAGACACTTGCATTTGTAGTAGCCACTCTGAAATAAAACCTGTGTTTGGCTCATGGGTTGTAAGGAACCAGAATTTGGCCATGGGCCGCAGTCTGCTGTCTCGGCTGCTCGACTCACCTCACCATATGGACGAAGGACGACAGCCATATGGACGGCCACCCAGACAGAGCTGGCCCCGAGGAGGCGTCTCTGGGCCACCCAGGACCTACCTCCCGTGGGTATTTGCTGCATTCTTGAACGACCTACGTGCCTGCCTCGGGGGTTAAGAAGGTTTCGAGCCTTAGAGGTCCCTCACCTGGACAGTCGTAACTACACCTCACCTCACGGAGGACGGCGGGGAGCAGGCAGAGACAAGCCCCCTCGGGCTGCACTCCCACCAGCTGCCCTGGGTCTGATCAGGTGTTTTCCCACCAGACGGTTATGGGTTCTTCCCCACTCCCCTTGCTGGGAAGATCCCTGACTCCTGGAAGAAGTCTCTAGCTGGCAAGCTTTGCAAGCAGCCCCAGTGGGATGGAGGGAGGAGCTGAGCACAGAGGGCCAGTGGGAGGGAAGAGGCTGCCCACGGGCGCAGAGAGGAATGTTCCTTGCAGCCCCCGGGAGGCCAGGCGCGGCAGGGAGCCTCAGAGTGGCCCCTGGAGGGCGTCTTCAGAGGCCGATACGGGTTTTAGGACACTAGCAGGCACACTTGAAATCAGCAGCTCCACGGGGCCATGAAAGTCACCTCCAAAAAACAGTCTCAGAATCCCTCCAGACTTCCGTCCGCCAAGCATGCGTGACACATCCCCAAGACTGCTGGCTCAAAGAGCAATGCACACCGCTGCGCCTGGCACAGCCTCTCACGGGGCACTGGGACAGCGTCTTTAGGAATTCACAACTCTCAGGTTTTAGAAAGGTAATTCCGTGCGTCTACCATATCGCCCCCCGGCAGTGGCGCCGGGGCGCCACCCAGAACCAGACATGGCGATTATATGGCGAAACATGACCTTTCACACAAAACACGGCCCACGCTTCTCAACAACCCAGGTCAGGTTCCGCTGCCAGCGGGACCAGAGGGAACCTGGCGGTTCCGGAGCTAGCTGGGGTGGCGTTTCCGAAAGGGGAGGGATGATGGGCCCAGACCAGAGGGTGCTTGGGGAATGGGGTTTGGAGGACTCTGGAAGGCGCAGTCACCATCTGGCGGAGCCCCACCACCAAAGCTAACGCAGGACAACTCCCAGAGCCCCCGGGAGGCTGTGCCGTGGCCCTGGCGGGGCTCAGCGTTCTGACCCTTCTGCCTCCTCGCCCCCGATGCAGGCGAGTGTGGGGTGGCTGCTCTAGGACGTGGCAACCTCGGCGCTGGGAGCTCTCCATCCGCCTGCACTGGGGCCATTTCCCTGCCTCTGTGGCTCCCACGGCTAAACGCACGACAGTCCCCGCCCCACGCTGACTCCGTGAGAGGAAAGGAAACGGGGGCGATGGAGACGGCCAGAGGACAAAAGGCCACGAAGGCCAGGAGACGCAGTCGCATTCACCTGAGAGAGAGGTCGAGCCAAATGCTCAGGGGATGAGTCACCCCTGTCCGCCGCCCCCCCCCCCCCACCCGGGGTCACGGCCGGTACCTCCACGGCCACGCTGAAGTCCACCATGGAGACGCTGGTGTTGCGGTGCCAGCACACGTGCACCATGGTGTTGCCGCGGTGCGGGGCCTGGCGCTCCAGCGAGGTGCGGGAGGCGCTGAGGTCGTCCTCGGACTCCTGGTCGGCCCCCGAGGCCTCGTCGGGGGACTCTGTGGATGTGGCAAAAGGCGGTGCTTCTGATCTCTGCTCACCAGAGGGGCCCTTTCCTGACCCCTCCCAGGAGCTGAACGGGCCTGGAAGGTTGGGGGCACTCAGTGATGTGGCCCCAGGTCCCCAATGCAGCCACTGAGCAGGAAGTCAACTAGCAGCCACCTGCCTGTCATGGCCCCTTCCCCCACTTGGGGGGCCCCAGCACACCTGGGCACTGGGCCGCTGCATGGGGATGGCCTGATTTCTCTCCCCGGTCTGTCACATTCTGTACGACAAGCAGTGATGCCGGCCCAGAAAAGATGCCTTCCCTGCTCCCTCATTTTAAGGATTTTTATATTTTTAGGAAATGGAATTTCCTTGATTTTTTAGCTTTAAATATGAATATAGTCCACAGATCTGAGGCCCACCAGGTAAGATGACTTCAAGTGCACAGGCTGCTCACCCTGAGGCCAGAGCTGCCCGCCCCTCGGCTGATTCCTGGGAGCAGAGCGCCCGGGCCACCCCGGGAAGGCCTCCCCCACACTTACTGTTGTCCGGGGGGCTGCTGGCGAGGAACTCGGGGGAGGGGCCGCTGCTCTTCTCGGCCAAGTCGATGGCCATCTGTATGTCGTCCACCCACTTCTCCATCTCGGCCCGGGAGCTGGAGAAGAGACGGGCGTCAGGCTCTCAGACCACGGCAGGACGCGGGGCAAGCGGGCAAGAGGGCCCCGTGTTACCTGGCGGCCACGACGATGGACTGGCGCTGGCCCCGCAGCGTGAGGCAGTGGGGCACGCCCCACTCATCTTCGCTCCTCTCGATCTGTGGGGCGAGCGTTCGAAACGTTACTGCCAAGGAGCAAGCAAGACGCTCGGTTCACTTTCAGATGCCCACGGAAAGGGCCGTGGCTCGGAGAAACAAGTCAGAAGAGTAACCAGAAAAGGAGGAGAAAGATCAAAAGGCACTGAATGTTTTCCGGTGGAGCTCATACACTGCCCTGGATCCGACCTCAGCCAGGGAGCAATCCCGGGCTGACTGATGACCAAGGGTCACAGAGTACAGACACCTGCCCACGGGCACGTCTCGGGGAAGGACAGGGGGCTCCCTGGTCTCTGCGTGGGCTCCATGACTCCACGTGGGTGGTGAGGATGGTCTCCCGGCCCCCGGGGCCAGGCACAGCGCCGTGGGACGTGGGAGGCACAGTCACCCCATGTGGCCATGTCATCTTGCCTCTTCACAATCCCAGGAGCAGGATACCCAGAACCCCCCATGCAGAGGAAGGAACCAGGTCGTGGCCTCTCTCCAGGGAGCAGAGCCCAAACAAGTGAGGTTCCCAAGGCACCTGGGATGCCCTCACTTCCTATCAAGTCCCTCCTTTTCCTTCCCCACGGCACCATCCCGGGCTCAGGGTCCCTGCAGGCAGGCACACACCTGCAGGCAGGCAGCCCAGAGGGCGAGGCCTGGTCCCCGCCCGGCCACATACTCACGGTCATGCCATAGAGCGGGAGCTGCCCGTGCACTTTGAACTGATTCGAGATGGTCAGACCCCGGCTTGTGTACAGCAGGACGTCGTTGAACTGGAGGACAAGGACAAGGGCAGCTGAGGTGCACGGGCTCCGTGTGAAACCAAAACGTGCAGAAAGCGTTTTCGAAATACTGCATGACAACTCGCTGATCTCAACAACTCCACATGGAGCCGCAAAGCTGCCCCTCCTGCCTCCCAGGTACCCCCCTGCCCCACCTCCCTCCCCCCACCCATGGGCAGCACAGGCCTGGCCCTGTGACCCCCACGGACCACGGACCACAGGGAGGACATGCAGCTCTCCCCACGTACCAGGAAAAACATGCGCTGCTGCAGCCCCTTCCCGGAGAGCTTGCTGAGGCTTCCCAGGCGAATGAATTCCTGCGGAGAAAACCGACCCCAGGCGTTGGCTGGGAGCGTGCAGACCCGGGTCCACACAGAGACGCCGGCTTCCTCACACCCTGGCCGCTTCCACGCTAAGAATCACAGCCATTGCATTAACTGGGTACTGAATGCCGTGCTCCGCCGCCTCCTTCCCAGGAACCTGCTGGCAGGGACCGCGGGCTCCACCAACAGGAAACCAGCACTCAGGTCCAGTGGTGTCTGGTTCAGTCAGGCCTGTCATTATGCCCTTATCCCCTGGGGCCTGCAGGCTTCCCGCTGCGGGAAGGAGAAGACGAGAAGACGGTGGCTGAGGCACTCACTGCCGAAAGCCAAGGGAGCATAAAGGGACAGTGGTCTTGCATGTGGTCCAGGGGCTCCAGGGAGGGGTGTGGACTCAGATGTCAATGTCTGAGGGCTGGAGATGGAAAATGTCTCTTACCTACAAGTTTTCTTTAAAAAAAAAAAAAAAATGGAACAAGACAAAAAAAGAAAAGGCTCCTAATCGCCTTAAGCTCAAGCTGCTTCCTTATGGAGGGAAATCCATCCGAAGAGGTCCAGGGCTCTGAGGTTTTGTTTTTTAATATACTTTATTGATTTTTTTTTTTATAGAGAGGAAAGGAGAGGATAGGGAGTTAGAAACATCTATGAGAGAAAATTTGATTCAGCTGCCTCCTTCACACCTCCTACTGGGGATGTGTCCACAACCAAGGTACATGCCCCTGACTGGAATCGAACCTGTGACCCTTCAGTCCATAGGCCAATGCCCTATTCACTGAGCCAAACTGGTTAGGGCCAGGCCTCTGAGTTTTAACCAGATGACCCTCCGCCCCCTACCTTACTGCCCGTCCTTGCTTCCTTTCTGTTCTGTGTAGTGAAAGAGGAAGTGCTCCCGTAACCTAGACGGCCTGTCCAGGAAGAACTCTCTCAGGCACACAATTCCCAGGACAGAAAAACACCCTCAGGGAATAGTCCTGCCTCCCAGGGAGGCTGACCCACCAGGAGGGCCAGTGGGACCACATCTGAAAGCCATGTTGGGGATTAGACTGCAGGTTTAATAGTAAAACTGTCTGCTCCTCTTTAAATCTCAGCTTTTCAAATCTCACCTATAGACAAATCTATCAGAGTCTCCCTTCCGCCCATTTGGTTATGTGATAATTAACGTTAATTACGATAATCTATTGGCCTTGGCGTGTGGAGTGCCCCATCCTAGAACTCGCCCCTCGAAAGCCTGAGCCCTCCAAGTCACTCAGGGTTGACGTGGAGCAGGGAATGGCTCTGAAGCCAGCTGATGAGCAAAAGAATATGCAAATAAGCAGTTAGTAACCAGCACCCCAATTCCGACCTCACCCTTAAAACAATGACCTTTAACTTAGCCTGTGGTGTGTGCCTCCTATGTGCTGTGTGCGTATATTAGCTCCATACGTGAGCTTGTACAATTCAATATTATCACCCCCATTTTCCAGGTGAGAAAACTGAAAAGCAAAATGATTAGAAACTTGCCCCAAACCACCTGGTCAGCTATGGGTGACAGAGCCCGTATTTGGCTAAAAGCTTCCGATGCCTTCTACAAGGCTGTGCTGTGCAACCAATAACATACCAAGTGTACAATTGGTCCATTCAAATCAATGCAGGTGGGGGAAGGGGAGGATAATTCGTATTTATTTTTCCTTTTCCCCCTTAAGTCTCATTCTATCCTCGTGACCTAGGAGGGAGAGGTTATGATCCGTGTTCCAGAAAGGGAGGACCGTCCGGCTGGGGGAACGTCCCAGCTTCGGTGGAGCTAGAATGTAAACCCAGGGCCACCTCCTCCAAGCCAACGCTCCTCCCAGCACCACGAAAACCTCTCCTCAGAATAAACGCGTTACAGAGGGCCTGCTTGCCATGGAGCATAATGTACTAAATACTTTATAACACCCAAAGTTCAGAGAAAAGGACACCGATCCCACAGGGCTCTCCGAAGAGATCTGCGTGGATGGGTAAGCGTGGTCACGGGCGGAGGCCTGGCGGGATTTTCTCAGCTGCAGAGCTGCAACAAATCCCAGCTTTCACTGCCCCCTCAGCACGGACACGTAACTCTGCTGACAGCCTTTCCCAAGGGGTTTCCAGTCAGTTTTGTATTAGGCTTCCTGACAGAAATACCAAATACAGTCAAACCCCAGTTCCCGAATGTCTCCCAGCTTGAACAATTCAGTTCCTGATCAAACTGTTAATTGAACTTATGACTCTTTCACTCTGATCCGTCGGCATGACGGAAAGCATTCTTGGGCCACACATGGGCGAGTGTGAGTCAGTTTACTGCTACACCTCACATTAACATCTCAGGAAACTGTGCTGCGACTATTTTTGTGGGTTTTCATGGTTTGCGTGTTTTTTTGTTTGTTTTTTTTTTTCCTTCTTTTGCTGTTGAAATGGATGGTTAGGACCACTTTAAAATATAAAAAGGCTATCAAGAATGCTGATGTTGCTAAGGGTGTGGAAGTGCTCGCAAAAACGATTACAAGCAACTGGAGAGGCAGAAAATTGTTGGTTTGGATAAAGGGAAAGCGGTTAGCAAGGACAGCATTTCAGAGGCAGTGGCACGTGAAAAAGCCAAGATGCTACACTTGACCTCCTGAAAGAGAACCCTGGAAGGAGTGCTGAAGGCGAATGAAGGCCAATAGGGGCTCGTTCGATAAACTTAAGGAAAGAGATCTTTGTGTATAGATTTAACAGCACATTAGACTAGCACTTCACTTAAGAAAGGTTAAAAGGGAATCATTTGGGGGGTCTGGAATGAATTAATTCAATTTACATTATTTTTAATGGGGGGGAAATGACTGGCTTTTCAAACAAATAGCTTCTCGAACAGCCATCTGAAATGAATTAAGTCCGAGAACCGAGGTCCCACTGTACACACAGATGTTCCCGCATCCCCCCAAGCTGCACGGGTCTAAGGTTTCCAGGGCAGCTACCTGTCAGGTGTGACTGAGAGCCCCAGGTGTAATGGAAACCTGTGTGGGGGTGAAGGCCGATGCAGAGACTGAACCTGGGTGATGGAGAGTTCAAAATCAGGGCGCTCAGGAGACAGATCTCATGAGGAGATGGGTAAGATGGGCCACCTGGCCAACAGTGTTGATTCTTGGGAAGAGAAGTGGGAAAAGGCCGGACCTTGAACATGCCATGGCTGGCTCAGGGGAAGCGTGTCTGCAGCGAGGCTGCTTCACAGAGCACAGCGGCCTCTCACGAAGGGCTGCTCGGTGAGGTCACTGCGCGAGGGAAGCCGCAGCTCTCCCAGAATCAGGCTCTGGCTAGACCGTTACTTTAATTCCTAACTAAAATTACATCACGTACAGGAAAGTGCATCTTTTGAAAGTAGTTTCCATACTTACGTGGGATTTGATAGCATGATTTCATGCACTGGCTTTTCCTCTGCCTTTTATAGCACTATTGTACCCAATCAGAAATGGTTAGCTTCCATTTTCATTTACCTACCTTTTAATAAACAAAATAAGCTATCTCACAGGGAAACATCAATCAGACCATCAAACCTCAGAGGGAAGTAGGGGAGGGTGGGGGTAAGTGGGAGAGACCAACCAAAGGATTTGTATGCATGCATATGAGCCTAACCAATGGACAGAGACAACAGGGGTGTGAGGACATGAGTGGGGGGGGCTAGGAGGGATAATGGGGGAATAAGGACACATATGTAACACCTTAATCAATAAAGAAATTTTTTTAAAAGATTTAAAAAACAAACAAAACAAAAATCAAAAAACAAAATAAGCTATCTCAAATTGTCTTAGATCATGGCAGAGGGGAAAAAGGAAAGAAAAAGAATACTTCATCTACTTAATAAAGGCTTATCTCCTTCTAACATGAAACTTTTGAATGTGATATTTAAGGTTTTTCCCCCTAATTATCCCCCGGGTGGAAGGAAGTCACATCTGTGCTCAAAACGCGCAAACGTAAGTCGCTTCAACGCCGCTTTACTGGCGCGGCCTCCAGTGCGTGAGAGAATGCAGCTGCTTACCCTTCCTGGGATCACAAGATTGTCGACGCCAATCAAGTCTTTCTTGAGTTCGTGCAGCTTCTGGAAGTTCTCCATCTTGATCATCGTACCGTGGAGCTGGGCCACCATCTCCGTGATCTCCGCCAACGCCGCTAACGAACAAACAGCGACACGCAGCGTTAAGGACAGACGAGGGTTCCCCCTCCAACGTCCTGAAGCTCAGCTCCGCAGGGCGACAATACCCTGCAGGGCGAACTCCCCTGGCTGCTGTCCTCCTAGGGGAAACCCGGCTATGTCTCACAAAGAGAAACCGAGGGATTGGCTTTACTATGTATGTATCCGCTCTGCCCGAGTTTCCCAAAAGCCCTGTGAAAACGTAACTGACCCCTTCAGAGCGGCCTGGTGGACAGCTGCCCTCCAGGGAGAACTGCATGTTGGCCCAGAGGGGAAACTGCAGGGAAATAGGGTGCCTAGAATGCTGCCCCCAGGGCAGCGATTTTTTTTTACCCTCTTCTCCGGGAGGAACAGAGAACAGAGGCCACAGGAAAACCTGAGCAAAGAGGGATCTTTCTGAGAGAGAGTGGGGGTTGGGGAGTGCCAAGAGCTGTTCCCAGGATGCTGGTGCACCGTGAGCCCTGAGGGACCAGGTGAGCAGGGCAGCACCGCGGCACCAGCCCTCAGGGGGCGCTCCTCAGGCCAGAGCTCTGTGGTCCCAGGTTTTCCTGGTCCCTCAGGGCAGGCATGGCTCTCTAGTACCTGGCCAGGTTTTACCTGTGATCTCTTTCTATAACGTGAGGCTTGCTAAGAACTCTCTTTTCCTTCCGCCTTTGTGTGTGTTTCCTCCCGTGATCGTGGGTGGTTTGGCACAGAGAACCCAGGTGCCATCCTTCCTCTGAGAGGCCCGCCCCCCCGCCCCGCTGAGCATTCGGTGCCCAGTAATTGTTCACTGGACCATACTGGCTGGTGATGTCTGAGGATGGAGCAAGCCTGGGTCTGTCACTGTGGCTCAGACAGCATCCTGTGATTAGCTGGGAAGCATCTAATTGGCATCCCCGGGGAGAAGGCGAGAAGGCGAAATGCTCCCCTTGCAACGTTGAAGGGGCTTCGTTTTCTGAGGCCTGAAGTTCAGCTGGCAAGTCTTTCTTGCTTTCTTGACAAAAAAATAAGTGAATGCTCAGCTATGGTGGCTTTGCATGCCACCCAAACGTGTGTTAGCGGCACATCAGCCCCTCGTACATGTTGGATGCCTACCCAGATAGGGGAGATGGGCCCGTTTTGCAAAAATTCTGTTTTGCAGTTTTCTTGGCCACCCCCTTGGAAGACAGTTGACTCCCGCAGAAGGTAGGCCTGGGGGTGCCGGAATGAATGTTCATCACTCAGAAGTTGCTCACCTCGGCAGTCCCTGAAGTCGGCCTCGTTGGGCGGGTTGTCCTTGCACAGCCGCTCCAGGACCTGCTTGTAGTGCATGAGCCGGTGCAGCGGGCGCAGGAGGAAGGTGTTGAGCGGCAGGTAGCACACCTTCTGCAGCTCGAAGTCTCGGCACAGGTTCTCCAGCCGCCGGGAGCTCCGGATGCCGGTCTCCAGCGCCTCCAGGGCCTCGCCGTGCTTCCACAGGTGCACGGCCAGTTGCTGTTGGGGCCGAAAGACAAGCGTGGGGAGGGGTCCCGCCCAGTGGAGGTGCATGGGCACGCGGTCCACCCCCCCCGGCCCCCCCCCCCCCGCCCCCCCGCCTTCGGAGATGAGGATCACCTCCCTGTCTGTCCTTCATGTCATTAAATCCCAGGCGTTTCACATTTCATGGTTTATTTCATTATGCCACGTTCTTGGGATGAAATGAAAAGCTCTAGGAAAGCACTGAGCAGTTCAACACACACAGGGTGTATACCACAGGAGACATATTAGAGGGGTACATGTTCCTTTAAAAACAAGACGGGCGGCAGGAACCGGTTTGGCTCAGTGGATAGAGCGTCGGCCTGAGGACTGAAAGGTCCCAGGTTCGATTCCGGTCGAGGGCATGTACCTTGGTTGCAGGCACATCCCCAGTAGAGGGTGTGCAAGAGGCAGCTGATGGATGTTTCTCTCTCATCGATGTTTCTAACTCTCTATTCCTCTCTCTTCCTTTCTGTAAAAAAAATCAATAAAATATATTAAAAAAAAAAATAACACAAAACACAAGACAGGCAAAACGGAGGGAAGATAAATGGACAGGAGCTCCTTCAGGGGCCTGTGGCTTCCCTCCACAGGCCACAGGATGACAGACAGACCGGGCTACTCCGTACACGTCACACAGCGACAAACACGTGTTCCTGACGGACTCCCCCGGCTGCCCATGGGGTATGTGCCACAGCCACCTGCCCTGCAAGATCCCAGGGAGCTGAGGAGAGGGAGGTAGGCACGCTCCCTGCTCCTCTGGAGTCTGACCCAGATTCTCTGCCACAGCAAACAGTGGTCAGGCTCCACGCCTCTTCCCAGGCCTGCCTGTGCACTTCCTGGGAAACCCAGCTTTGGCATAGCCCTGATAAAGCAGTGAAACCACAGCCTCCCACCCAGGATCGCTGGTCACCCAGGACCCTGGGTTCCTGTCTCCCACCAGCCCTCAGGCGATGTCTGACTACCTGGCCTGTCTCCGCAGAACCCCCCCTTTGCTCTTCGTAATTGTCCATCCTCTGACCCGCCCTGCTCCGTGGCTGTGGGTTCCTGCTTGCCGCTGTAGGCGAGTTAAACCCCCCTCACATAAAACCCCACTGCAGGCAGCGGTCCTGAGTAAAGTCTTTAACAAGGGTGATTGTTTTCTTCCTTTTCACAAGCCGTGGTGGAGACAGACGGGGTAAAGTCTGATGGCAGAGCATTAGAGGAGGAATGCATTCCCCATGCGGGTGGGGAAAGCGTTTCCAGACAGAGAGGGCACTAACGGGGTGGGGGACGGGTGACCCCCAGGACTAGGGACCAGTAGTACTTCCCAGGAGCGGCTCCCTACCCCACACCTGCATTTCCAACCCGACACCCCCACTCCACGCTCCAGAAACCCAACGCCTCCTGCCTCACCTGGGGCTGCCCCGTGGTTCTCTAACCTCCGGATTACAGTTGCTCAGGACAGAGAATGCTGGAGAACATTCTAGATTCCCTCATTTTTCCAATCCTTCACCAAGTCCCACCAGCTCTACCTCCTTAGACCAGTGGCCGCTCTGTTGACTAATGGGTCTGCCATATGCCTGTCTTCATCCCCCTGGTTTCAGGCCTGTGCCGCCCAGCACGGTACTGGTGTCTCCGCTGGAATCTCTGCCACCTCGCCTCACCCCTCCACCTTCTCACACCTCAGCCACCAACGTGAACGTCTTACAATGAAACAGAGCACATCGCCTCTTGCTTGGACACAAGAGCTCCCACCATTTTGGGACAACCCGAGGCTTCAGCAGGTGCACAGCGCTCTTAGGATGGAATCCCTCCCACCCTCCATCATCATCTCTTGCTTCTCACCCGGGGCTGCCCACTGAGCAGCCTGCATTTGATGTGCCAGAGCCTCTGCATACGACACACCCCCACCCCGGCCTGCCTCACCCATCAGGGTTAGGTCTGGGGCCTTCCCTGATCTCCAGGCTCAGTTACGACGTGGCTATCCCCCTGCACCTAACGCTGTTTGTTCCTCTAAGCCCTTACCACTAGCCTCCCCAATACAGTTTATTTTGTGAAAAAATATAGAGATTCATAGGAATTTGCAAAGAAATGCACAGGGGATCCTATGCACCTTCACCTGGCCTTCCTAATGGAACACCTTGCACGACAATAGCACAATAGTGCAAGCAGGAGACTGACATGGTACAGCCCTCAGGGTTTATGTGGATCCCACCAGTTAGCTATACATGCCCTCACTTGTGTGCAGGTGCAGGTGTATGTGTGCATGTGTAGTTCAATGCATGTAGTTCAATGCAATGCTATCACATGGGCAGCTGTGTTTGACTGTGAGAAAGTGTATGTCATGTCGCCACACCCTCCAGGCCTGACAGGTCTCATTAAAAGTCTGATGCCTGCATGCATTCCTGGGCAAATGAACCAACACATGCAGCAGCGGAGGCAGGAGTCCCACAAGGACTGAGTGGAAAGAGCCTGGAAGGAGTAGGTGGCAGGAGTTTAAGAAGGTGATGGGCCAGGAAGTGGATGCCTGGGGAGAGAGACAACCCGGCCTGGGTGGTGGGTGAAGGGTCAAGGTGAGAGGCGAGGACCTACTTCCTTTGGCTGAAGTGCCTTGTGCACTTGGGCAGATGTTGCCAGGGGCAGGTCACTGCATGGGCAGAAGGTTACGGTTTGGCTCTCTCTGGCTTTTGGGTGGGGACTGGAGTGCCACCCAGCTCTCTGTCGGTGCAGAGGGTCTGGGGACAGCTGAGGGCCAGGACAGTACCCTCGCTGAGCCTCTGCAGATGCGGTAAACACACAGGCTGGACCGGCGGGAAAGACAGTGCCAGCAGGGGATCACCTAACACTGTGGACACCACTGCTACCCTGGGCTTCGGTGTCTCCTGCTGCTCCCTTCCACGCATCATAAAAATTCCTTAAAACCAACCATAACAACCACAATAATTTTTTAAAACCCCAATTTCTCCAAACGCCTGCGAGTGGCTCCCTGAGCCGCTCCGTCTATTTTTATTTTGCTTGCACAGAGCTCTGTGCTATAAACCTCCTGGCATCGGCACAATAAGAAAAGTGCCAGCACAGCGGAGGAAGCTGACTAAATGCGAAAATGCTAACTCACCAGAGTGAGGAGAAAGAGCTGCTATGAGTGGAAATCGGGTATATTTTTAGGTCCTAGGTGCTACGTGAATGGAGAGGAGGGCGGATGTCTGCTGAATGCCAGCTCTCTGGGAAGCCAGCAGCGCCGGGGAGGGTCATAGGAAAGCTGGTGACCAGGGCTGCTCTGGGGACGGTCCCCGAGGGCTGTGGAATGAATGGGCCGGTCTCCATTGCTGTCCCAGGGGCCCACGGTGGAGTCTAAGCCTCTGTGAAGGGAGTACGCGAGGGCTTATCATCCCAGATGAAGGGAACACACTGTGAGAAAAGGCAAAAGACCCTACTGGGCTGAGGGCAAGTGCAGAACCCGGGAGAAGAGGCTTCTAGAAGAAGAGATTTGGGAGGAACAACAGCAACAAAACTATGGCACAGAAGAGAGCAAATGAGGTGTTTTTAATGAGCGGCCAAAGCAGCCTGAGAAGGCTGTACAATGATTTCAACTCTAGGACGTTCTGGAAAAGCCCAACTCTACAGAGTAAAAGGTGGGTGGTGTGGGTGGTGGGGGGTGAAGGGTTAACTGGGGGAGCACAGAGGGTTTGTAGGCCGTGAAACTCTCCCGTGTGACACTGTCACGGGGGATACGTGGCATTATGCTCTCGGCAACATCCATGGAATGTACAACACAAACAGTGAATTCTACTGTAATCTTAGCATTTCATTAATAATAATGTGTCAATATTGGGTCATCAGTTGTAGCAAGTTTGCCCCACAAGATGTAAATGGGGAGGCTGTGTGTGTGTGTGTGCGCACGTGTGTGTGTATGTGTGTGCGCGCGCGCGCATGCACAAGTGTGATGATTGTGAGAATATAGATTATGTATTATAGTTATTATATAACCAGTAGCCCTGCGTAGGAATCCGTGCGCCAGTAGGTCACTGCTGCCCTCCTGTAGCTCTCCGCCCACTGCCCCGTCCTCCTGTAGGCCCCCCACACACACAAACTCCCTTCATAGCTTGCTGCCCTGCCCCTCCTGTAGCTCTCTGCCGCCCTCTTGTAGTTTGTTGCCCCACCCTCCTACAGATCCACGATCCGGTGGTTACATCGTTGGTCATTACACCTCAGGACGTAATGGATTATAAGCATTTCCTCTCTTATTATACAGAATATATACTAAATTTTAAAAAAATCACCATGGGAAGTGAAAAGATGTCTGTTACTATTACGTATGAGTTCTGTACACCAACCTCACTTGTGACATTAACAATAGCATAGGTGTAGAACAACCTACAACCTAGATAATTTTTTTTTTTCATGGAATTCTGCAATCCTGATCACTTCCATGGCCTCTCTCTGATATTGCCTAAAGAGAAAAGTGTGGCTTTTTGAACACCTTTGAAAAAGCAAGCTATATCTCAGGGTCTGTTAAATATTTTTTGTTGTTGTTAATCCTTACCCGAGAATATTTTTTCCATTGATTTTACAGAGAAGAGAGAGGAAGAGACACACAGAGAGAAACATCGATGTGAGAGAGACACATAGATTGGCTGCCTGCCACACGTGCCCCTACTGGGGTCGGGGGATAGAGCCTGCAAGCAAGGTATGTGCCCTTGACTGGAATCAAACTCATGACCTTTCAGTCATGGGCCAACGTTGTAACCAATGTGAACCAAATCAGCAAAGGACAATTACATATCTTGATCTTTAAGAGAAATAGGAAATCTCCTAAGAAGCTTTAGATCCTATCTTTTCTATGCCATACATCCCCTCCTCTACAAACCTCCCCTCATCTTATTTCACGAGATTATATAATTATAAAGGGAAAACACTGAACTATAAACAATTTAGCCAGATTTGGGGGGGAATTAATTCAACCCGAATAGTAACTTTTATTCCATGAGTGCCGTATATGTAGTAACTCCTCAGCTAGTACCGGTTGGATGGATGAATGGACAGATGAATGGCTGGACAGACTGAAATGGTCAAAGTATGAGCAACCTGCCTTCTCCTGGGGGTTAGTAGCTCTGGGCAGCCAAGATATAGGATGACTGCTTTAAAATGTGAACGTAGATGTATTTATAGTCACAAGATAAATTGTGTGAATTAAAATATTCTATGTTAAAGGAATTAATCATGGGTTAAAATGAAAATGCAAAAATGAAAGTTTCAGATATAAGAGATCGGGGTGATTTAAAAAACAAGGTAGAATATTGACTCAATATGTACTGACTTTATCAGACAAGTTTTCACTCTTCTGTATCACTATGGATATTGCTGGATGGCTAAAAATACATCTGCCTTGCACACTGACTGTTTAAAGTCAGAGATTTGACTGGAGTTGCTGTGCAGCTTTGAAACCAGTATTTCTGTCAAGCTCACAAAGCCAAACAATTGGCAAAAAATGAAATGTTCAGTTAATCAAAGCTTTGTTTACAGAATTTAATAAAAATCTTGTCTTTAAAAAAATAACTTTTATTGTTTTATAGAGAGACATGAAGTGAGAGGAGAGGAGAGGGGAGAGAGAGAGAGAGAGAGAGAGAAAGAGAGAGAGAGAGAGAGAGATATCCATTCATTGCCTCCCACAATGAATGCTCTGACTGGGGATTAAACCTGAACTTTTACTGTACAGAATGCACCACACCGGCCAGGCCTACAATTTTGAATGATCTGCTTGCTAAAAAATACCTGCTGTCTTGGTTGTAACACAGAGCTTTTGTACGCAAGTGCTTCTTCCCCCAATGTGACTGGATTTCCCGTTATGTTCCAACATGAAATGATCCAGAAAGGCTAGCAGAGTTTACCCCACTTTGTGGTAGACGCGGACGGTCACAGCAGGCACCGCCTGTTTGTGGAAAGGCTTACGGCGGGCTGGCTGACCCCGCAGCTCCAGCGAGAACGTGCTCTGCCCGCCCCCGAGCAGCTCACCTTCATGGCCTGCACGTTCTTCAGCATGACGTCCCCGATTCTTTGGTAATCTCCTCGGATGTGGGCATTGGAGCGGCCTTCCCTGGAGGCAGAGGCAAGAGATTGGAAACCAGAGGGTGAGCACTGACAACGTAACTGGGAAATGTCCGAGCCCGAGGTCACAACATAGCAAAACTGAGGTCTTCCCTCCCAACGGCCTATTTCTCCCTCTTCCCGCTCTGGGCGTCACAGCGTCAGCACGGGCAGGAAGCTGTGAGATGACCCCAGTCCTTCTGCAGACAATGAATTCCATTTGCGCTTTGAAAGAGACAGGGCCGACCATTGCTGACCGTTTTAATTTGGTCTCATTTTACATTTTCTTTCCCGCCATCCAAGTGTCACTGGAACAGCACAGAGATCGTGGTGGTAACTAGCTCAAGAAACGCAAGTCCCCCCCACAGATGGGGACTAACAGATTTGTAGAAGCAGCAGCAAGACTCAGGCTCAAAAATCAAGGCTCCTGCTCCCAAGAGCCCTCAGCATGAAGCATGCACGGAACTGTGTGAAAAGCCCCCCCGGGAAGAGAAAAGTATAAATGAGGACGTGCAGGAGACCCACGCATGGGGCGAGAATGGGAAAATGATCCAGAAGAAGGGAGGATGAGGGTCCCCGGTACAGAGGCAGGGAGGGGAGGGACCAAGGTCCCCCAGGCGTGCTGGGTGTGCATTTTCAGCAAGTATTTGGGTATATACTCATATTTCTTTTTTTCTTTTTTTAATAGTTTGATTTTACACAGAGAGGAATTGAGAGGGATAGAGAGCTAGAAACATCGATGAGAAAGAAACATTGACCAGCTGCCTCCTGCACACCCCCCACTGGGGATGTGCCCGCAACCAAGGTACATGCCCTTGGCCAGAATCGTACCTGGGACCCTTCAATCCGCAGGCCGACGCTCTATCCACTGAGCCAACCCCTATATTTGTTATAGTTTAGTTGATTTTGATCATCTGGAGGCTTAAATAGCAGAGAAAAAAGTAACAATAACAGTAGCTAGTACTTACTGAGCACAGTCCACCACACTGAGTGCATTAAATGCTCACGGCGACGTGTGAGGCAGGTGCCATTGTCACCCCCATTAAACAGTTAGAGGAACTTGATGTGCAAAGCAACGGCACCCCTTGTCTAATGCCAGTTACCACGGGACAGCGAGCTCTGTTCTTGAGCCCAAGAGTCTAGTTGGAGCCCACACTCCACACGACGACACCACGGCGCATCTGTACATGTTGCCTGATGACTGGGCAGAATGTTTCCGAGACGATTAAAGCATGATTTTCAACAACCAACTAGGCTAATGTCTTCGAACCAACTATTCAGGGTGGCCAGAAGCCAACTCACTAGTACACAAAAGGAATGAGTTAAGAGGAGGAAAGGTAACAATCTGGATACGACGCTTCCTGCCGGGAGTGAGAAGTGCTGGAAGAGGTAGAAGCACCGGCCCCAGGAGTCAGGCAGGACGGCGATTCCCCTGCGAATGCATCGCTAGCACACCTCTGGCGACGAGAGAAACAACTTCCCGCTCAGCGGAAGCAGCTGGAGCCTCCAGAACGCTTGACTCCATCACGGACTCAAGCATCTTGGAGCGGGAAGGGAAGGCAGTGGGGAAAGCACCTGCTACCAGCGGGTAGGAAGGTCAGGCAGGTGGACCCAGAGGGACTGGCTTCTCCCAGCTCCTGGCGGCCCTCCCTCACCACACCACCGACCCCACTGGTTCTAACTGAGCATGTGTTACACTTACATCCCAGGGGAGGCAGCACACCCAGACCCACTGGCAATTAAAGTTTCGCTAACATAAGAAGGGCAAGCATCTGTTTTGCCCCCAGCTCCTCCCTGTTTCAATGTCTCCCCGAAGCCCTGTCTCTCTGTGACCTATTGCATTCTCGTCCAGCTGGAAGTAGAATTCATTCCGCAACCCTCTGCTTCCTCTTGGCTGCCAGAAGACACATTGCCGGCAGACTGCCCTGATTACTATTCACTTTTATGAACTGAATATAGATTCTAGCCTCGCCACTCCTGCCATGGCTCCGGGGACGATTGCCAATACCCTCCCAATGACCTAAACCGGTGGTCAGCAAATTGCGGCTCTTGAGCCACAGTTTGCCACTCTGTTAACTAATAAGTTTGCCAACCACTGGGATAGGGGCTTAATCACAAGGAACAACAGCCTGTAATTATTGGAATCAAGAGTCTAGGTCAGTGGTTAGTAATCTCATTAGTCAACAGAGCGGCAAACTGTGGCTCACGAGCCGTGTGTGGCTCACGAGCCACAGTTTGCTGACCACTGACCTAAACCATCGAGAAATCATCACACCTGTCCCTGGCCAACTTCTCTGGGCTAGTTGGCCGCAAACCTCCTGGTTCTCTGTTCTTTCTCTCCCGGAAACCTCTCTCCAGGCTGCCGGACTCCTCTGTAGGCCAGTTCTGCAGTGTCTTTGGCAACCCCTCCTCCTCAGGCTACTCCTAAGCTATCTGGTTCTCTCGGTGGTTACTTTCTCTCTTCATTTTCTACTTCTTTATGCCATCCTCCTATGCCACATGGTTTCAATCCACTTTGTACCTACTGATGCAAGATATATATATTTATATATATATATATATATATATTTTATTGATTTTTTACAGAGAAGAATGGAGAGTGATAGAAAGTTAGAAACATCAATGAGAGAAACATCGATCAGCTGCCTCCTACACACCCGCTCCTGGGGATGTGCCCGCAACCCAGGTACATGCCCTTGACCGGAATCGAATCTGGGACCTTTCAGTCCGCAGGCCGATGCTCTATCCACTGAGCCAAATTGGTTAGGACCAAGTACTATATTTCTTATACCTCCAGAAGGTTCTGCATGCAGAACCCCACAGGTGTCTCAAACTCAACAGGCTCTACAGAGTTAATTATCTTGTTGCCTCCAATCCTCTTCCTACATTTTCTTCTTTAATGTCCCTGTTCTGCCCCCATCTCAAGCTAGAAATCTGTTACCCTCACTCATCCGTGTCTCACATCCACACCCACCGAGTCCAATTCTACCCCCGAATGGAGAATGCTCCTGACGCAGACTCGGCTTTGTGGTGGAGATAGTCCTCAGCCCACTGCTAATCACTTCGGTGTGCCACCCAATCAGCAGCAGGGTTGAAGGACCTCTGGATGTTGGGCAGAGAGTTACTCATCCAATTGCTATGGAGAAGTTTATTGTTTGGCCCTTCTGTTGATCCTGATGTGTGACTGGGTTTGCTGAGAATTTGCCCGGAGCAGAAAGGAGCTCCAGCCTGGAGCGGAGACTTCCTGTTTATAGCCCCACCTCCACCGCCCTCCCCTCCCCCCCCCCCCCCCCCCCCGCCCCTGCACCTGCCCATCATCATACAGCTTCTAGGAGCTGGAAGGCTCTCCTTCCTTCTCCCCACTGCCCCCGCTCCTCCCCACACGGCTGAACAACTCAAGAAGACCCAGTGACTGAGCCAAATGACTTGATTTTGAATTAATGCCATACAGCAATCAAAGGAGGCAGGACACAGCTTAGACTTGGTTTGTGGGAATGTAGCTATTATCTGGGACTTGGGTAGTGGAGCCCTGAACTTTCAAATGGGCATGCCATTGGACAATGCACATAAGGTTGCTGGTTAGTTTGAAGGACATCATTTAGGTATAATATTTCAGTGACAGTCATATGGGTTGGGTAGGCAAGGGGAGAAACGGGGTCCTCTGGCATCCACGAATAACAAGCAATTTACTCGCTCGCCCAAATAACGCCGGGCCCGAAGGAAAACGGAGTGCTGGCACGCAGACACAGGCGGGGGACCCAGAACAGGGGTGGAAGCCAAACTTCCCTGACTTCACTTCCTTTCTTCCTTTGCCAAGAATTTATCAAAAGAAAATGTTCTGATGTTAAAGCCCCGAACGGAAGGGGACCTTCTTCCCGCACAGGCTTGCTAGCAGGACCCTATCTGTTTCTCTAAGTCGGTAGCATCTTTCATTTTAGAAACTGCTTTGGGTTGGTATCACCTGTCCCCTGGGTTGCAGGGAAGGCACGCCATCAGCAGGCCGGGGCCTGTGAAGTGAATGCAGCCCGAGCAGGCAGCTCTGCCTTCCACCTGCCCGCCCCTCCCCTCCCCTCTGCAGCATACGTCACCCCAGCCCTACGAGGCTCAGCCCCCCAGTGAGGCCATGGGAACGGGGACAGAGCCCGAAGCTCCCGCTGCCTCCAATAGCAACCCCATCATGTGCTGACTCCCTCTCCATGTGAAAGCCACCAAGCCCTCCATCCAGCCCAAAGCCTGTGCTTTATTGTGAAGAGCCAAAAGGTCATGTTCTTACCGAGAACATGAAAAAGCAATTACAACTCTTCCAGGACATCCCCCGGATGCTAACCTCACAAGAAAAGGGCCCTTGTTTAGAAGGCAGGGCCACATACTTGTTGTGTGTGTAATCACCACATGGCTCCAAAGCTGAAAACTCTTTTGACAATTTCACTTCGGAAACCCATTTGCTCTGTAGCCTCCCAGACGCTACGTTCCGACTCCTGCGCCATGATCCGTGCACTCCCAGGATCAACAGCATGTGGTCTCAGCACAGGGCTGAAAACAGATACACGCACACGCAAGTCCCCGCTCCCGACCCCCCCCCTCCCCGCCCCCCGAATCTCCAATACTTGGGACCTCTGGAACACATCGCTGACTCCTGCATGAGCTGATCAGTAGCTCAGCAACAGCCAGACCAGGAAGGAGAAGGGAAAGATAGGAGGATGAGGACCAGTTCCCTGGAAGAGCTGCTGACCAAGGCCTGCGAGGCAGGGTGGGGCCACCTCGCAGGGCCTTGACTCTGCCCGTCTGTCTATTGGCTGAGGATGCAGATGGGGGGCAAGGACAATGGGATAAAGCACGAGTCTGCCGCAAGGTCCATAGAAAATCCACATGGAACCCTAAAAGAAACTGAACGTGCAGCATGCTGATCTTGCAGGGAATACAACCCCCCATTATGGAGCAAGCAGCCTAGGGCCCTGCCCCCTCTGGTGTCAGAGGAGATGCTTTACAGGGAAAGTGAGCAGTGAGTGA